GATATAGTGCAAAGTTGTTATAAAAAGACAGATTTATAATTTCAAGTTGTATTTCTCTGATTTAAATCTGATATTTGTTCTTAGTACATTAAGAGTAAGTGTTTTTATAACAATTTAGGTTTTTTCAAAATTAATATCTTACTGATTTATAAATCAGTAATAAAATCAGAATTATTGATTAATATTAATATCATTATAGTAGTAATAAAGTATTAATAGTATTATTATATTTTATGTGTTTATATTGCCTTAAAAAACTAAATTATAGAGATACTAATGCTAAAAGATATATGCTCTGTGGTGGTCAAAGCGTCGCTTATTGCCCTAACCCTTAGCCCTACCACTCACTATAGCTAAGTGAGTGATATCCAGACAATTAAATATACACAATTCATTGAGTTGTTATATATAGATAAATATCAATATGATGGAATAGTCCAGTTGTTGAAGGCCCAGAATGTTTACATTAATAACGATAATATATATTAGGGAAAGATTAGTTAGAGATAATAGTTAGGAAAAGAAATTAGGAAGAATAAACTAAAATCAAGGTTCCAGAGATTAAGAGATTTATATATTGCCTATATCACTGATTAAGGGGTGTATTAAATATAGCCAGTTTCGTGGTGTATATAATATACATACAGGGTATGGCTAATGACCGCTAATCTAGTGCATGTATATCTATAGCTTCTTCGAAAACTCCCTCTCTTAATATTCTTTAAGTTAGCCAACAAGCATTGAACTCACTATATGATATCCAGTCTATGTAATTCATCATTCAACTATACTTGACCCATAATTCAACACTTATTCTTATTCTTGTTCTTATTCTTGTTCTGGTCCCTGTTCTCATTCTCGCGAAGTCCTATTCGAGTATATCTACGATGACCGAGATTCCCAAAGTATAAAGAATGCCCTGCCCTGCCATGCTACTCCCTCCTACTTACTCTCTCTACTCGAGGACATGAGAATATAATACAATCAGAGAATCGTATACAGAGTAGATATAATAACAATTCAGATTTATACTCGAGTATTATATGATTGTAAGAAAAAAATAAAAACATTAACTATAGATTACAATACTAATTAATACAAGTATCTCACGTACTCCTTCCTATCTTGGACACCGTGACCATATCATACCATGATATACCATACTTCGATTATGATTATACTTATGAAAATAACAGTATAAATCACCTCGACAATAGACTTCAACCTCATGATTCAGTACTCGATTATAATAGAGCATAATCTGAAACTAAAAATAGAGGGCATTATTTTTATTTTTATATTTTTTTGGAAAAAGATTTGTGCGTGACACCTTCTTACAAGCAAAAAGTAAGACGTCAGTCAGCCAATCCTCCGAGTCACTTCCCCCTCTTCAAGTTCCCACTCTTCAATCGAAATTTTATCAATTTCCGACTTGTTATTATAACTTATACTCGAATAGAGATAGTTCTACTTATTACAATTTACAAGGAGATTATTTACTCGAGTACAATACTCGTATTTGATATTTGGTTTATATAACTTATAAGTTGAGAACAATAGAGAGTAATGGAACACTACTATATATCGGATAGGTTATCACTTGAAGTTGAAGTGCATTTTACTATATACTCATAGTCGATTGATACTTTTTATCATAGAATCTAGAATGCATTTACATATACTTGTACAATACTGACTGACATAATACATCATTGAAATCATCATAATAGTACTCAAGCTCAACTTGAGCTGTGAACTTGGTTACTTCTCTGAAATGAGATGTGGGATGTTGATGTCGAATCTCGAGTCTTCGAGTCTCAACTTGAGGATTCGATGGCAGAGGTAGAGGTGGGATGATCTTGTGAATGGCAATTCACATGCATGCGCCAATCCCATATCAATGAATACGATCAATGAATATCCAACCACCATAACCACTCCAATTCCTTCCAATCCATTCCGGACCCTCTCATCACATTCCCCACCTCACCTCTAATAATTTCCCTTCTGTCGCCCCGACGTCATATCTCCCGTTCCAGCCAACTCGGTCCTCTCCTTTGTCGGCACACCCCCTGGCCCACTATTTCCCTTTCTACTCTGAGGAACCGTACTTGCGTTTGCGGCTTCGGGCTCTGCTGCATATTTCTTGAGATCTTCCATTGATACCGCATCTCTGTTTGTTTCCTTCGTCAGTACATCTTCTTGCGATGTCCATCTTCATCCCTCGCTTTCTATCCATATCTTTCTGACAGGAAAATTGGTATGAGAAGAAGGGAATATATCCTTCATATCCGGGAATGAAGAAACAAAAATGCCCAATAAAACTCACAAAGCTCTCTCGTGTGTAGCATGTAAATGCACCTTGGGTACTAAATCCTCCTGACTAGAATTCTTCGCAGCTTCCATTGCTTCCTTCCAGCGACTAGCACATAGACACCATTTCTTCCCCCCAGTCAAGCCAATATCGCGAAGGTTGTTGCCGCGGGAAGCGGAGAAATCGAGGAAGCTATCTGTTAGGGTTGCTTTGTTGGAGTGTCAGTTCGATTTCTTAGATGAAGGGAAGGATGAAAGAAGGTGAGGAATACCGGCTATCGAATGGTTTCCCGTATCCTCTGGTCCCACATCACATTGTCCATTTCTATAAAATCCAGTTCCTTTGGCGAATTGCCCGATGGGTTTGTGCATTACTGTTTTCCATACCAGGTATTAGTTTTGGATTCTTATTTATTCGCTTTTTTGTAAGGACTCGGATGATCGTTTGACATACCATTAAGAGATTTATGAGCCTTTCCAAAGCTATCTGATCGACCCTCATTTGCCATTCTGACTGTTGTAGTAGAGTATGAATGATATAATCCGAGTTGGAGGTATGTCGAAGTTCGGAGAATTTGGGAACGAGATATTGACACAGAATGCATATAAATACACAATAAGATATATAGAGTACAAATAGTATTAAGTTTGTGAATATGAAGAGGATAGATAGTACATAAAAGAGAAGAAAATGGAGTTGAGGTTGTTGAGGTCGTTGGTGAGGGGGTATATACACTAAGAAATGTAGTATCAGTCCATGACGTCGTGATTTGGAATAGTACTAGGAACCATGAATTTTGGAAATTCGATAAAAAGGTACTACCTAGGTAATATTTAGTTCGGATTTGAGAAATATATATAAACAGAGACTCCCATCTTTCCTTGATGTTTGTTATAAATTAGGCATTTATTCTTTGTTGAAGAGTATCGAAATGATATAATAAGCCTACTTCGGGTCACGCAAATATCGACGAGCCAGAATTTGCCAATTTGAATTTTCTTTAAATAACTTCCGTCCCAAACATAATAATCGTCAATTAATCCATAATTTTGAAAGATAGGAGAATGCATCGACTACGAAACAACGTTTGAATCCGGATCCAAAATTGACATTGATCTCGCTTATCGCTGTCACATCGCCGCGATATGGAAAACCGGAGAGGAGCCCTTGAATTGCATAACAAGAGTATATTCGGAAATTTTTGAGACTACCAGTGGGAGAATATGGTAGTTTTCAACAATTTGGATTGCTTGAAATAACCACAAGAATTGCAAAGTAATCTTGTTACTTGTTTAATACATTCAAGATCCCCAAATTGTTTCGACCTCTTTCCACATGTTTTGGCATCCAAAGATTTCAAGGACAACTTTGTCCCAACTCGAAGCTTATAAGATGTGCCCCTTGATATCAAGCCAATATATCGGATGAGTCAATACAGATTCCATATAAGATATGATATCTACCAGAAACTGATCTTGATGGTTGAGGTTGGTACCAGTCTTGATCGTTTTGAATTCTGACTACTATTTTTCTTGTCCCGAGAATCTCATCTGTGATTGTCAACAAATAAGTATTCCGAGTTTTGTTGCGCGTCTATATTGTTCTTGGATGAAACTATAGTGAAGGCACTGAGTAGAGGAAGGTAAGGAAGGAATATTGCAGAAAAACAGTACAGAGAACTATCTGCTGTATATCCATCCAAACTTTTCTTCTCAGACGAAAATATAGAAGATCCAATCTTTTCCTTTCCTTCCGTCAAGACTTTTATTCGAAAAAAATAAAATAAAAAAAGTTGATGGCATTCAGAAACTCATATATTTCTTCCGACAAATATCCATCCAAGATCAATGTACATTAAATGAAAGGACAAAGATTAAAGTCTTACAATTAATTCATTGCTCTGAGACTGAGACTCATCTTTATATCATTATCAAGATAATACTCGTCCCAATCCTATTCCCGAAAACTGTGAATCTCACTCATCTCATGATTCTCAACTCTCGCATCCCCTTCATTCTCAGTAACTCCTATTACTCCTATTACCTTACCCCTACAATTCCACACCACTAAACAATAAAACACAATTAGTAATCGACCGCAACTCTCATCATATCATTACACTGCAGTATGCCATTAACAAAAAACAAACACATAAAATTCCCAACTCTTCTTCACCTTTTTTCTCTGCAAAAAATTCCGATCACTTGCAGAAAGTAGACAAGGTAAGGTAGGTATCCGTCACATGTGGGTGTAGGGTGTGTGTTGCATCCGAGGCAATGATCATCCCACCCCTCAATCCCCATCAATCTTCCTTAGAATACTTTTTGATCGATCAGCCGAACAAACAATATCAATATTTATATACCTACTGATCATGAGTAGGTAGGCATATATTTAGCTTTACGAAAAGGAAAAAGAGACCTTCTTAGAATGTTTCCCTCCATCTACAATACTCGAGAGTATATATAGAGAGAAGAGATATAAGTATAATAATAAAGCATCAGTGCTATCTATACCAAAAGTCAAAGTTATGTTATCTACCTAGTATAGAAAACATTCGAAGATTAATTTAGTCCTTTACTTTCGTTTCAATTTCCCCAAAGTTTCGTCTCGTCTCGTCTCATCTCTCATCTCGTTTCATTCATCCATTCCTCCCTCCAAATTCTTATCCATCCTGCATCCTGCCTGTGCACCCACACTTTTAATTATTTCGTTATTAATACCTGTGAGGTCCCCATATTTCCATATATCCCGCCCCCCCAGACAAAAGCCCAAAGCCAAAGCACGATGGATGGATCCTGATCTCGAGGCGAATCTCGAGGTGAGCGAAACATTGCTTGCTTGCTTGCTTACCTGGGTAAGTACTAAATACTCTCTCCATCTTAAAGAATAATAAAATGCTTGATTACCTAGATAGGTAGTTATCTGGTATTCTACAAAGAAAATAAAAATACTTGACATTATTATTGCACAGCACTTCTGTGTATACCAAGCAAGCAAGTACAGTAATAATCTGCAGTCTTCATATCATACCAGACCAAAAACAGAACCCCCGAAATAGCCACAGACGGATATTCAGGAACGCAGGCACGCGTAGCCATACTATAAATTTTTGATGCCCCTCTTTCCCCAAAGAAAGGATCGTCTGGTGTGCAGATAGGTAGGTAGGTACCGGTATGTATTTCTCAATGCTGGGTAAGCCCGGTAAGGTGATGGATGCTTTATGGGCTTCATGGCTTTCATGGCTTTCATGGCTTTCATGGCTTTCATGGCTTTCATGGCTTCACGGGCTTCTTTTTCCGGAACCTCAAAATTTATGTACCATTAGAAGTTGGATTGGATGGGATTGGATGGGATTGGATGGGATTGATGGGATTGAAACTCCAGCGGGAAGGGCATTGGCATTATTTTGTACTGTAATGTTATTTATTGACTAATATAGTTAGTTACTGACATACCCAGTTATAGATATATAAATGAGAAATTTATGCATTAAATTGGACTACTATATCTCCAACACATACATATATACAAACCACAGCAACAACACCATCAACAACACCAACAACAACGATCATTTGTCCCAAAAAGTCCTCCACCACCTACTCTGTACTCGCATTGTACACAAACTAATCTGTAACACCCAGTCAGCTTGCTTGCTGACTGACGAGACTAGCAAGTCAAGTCAAGTAAAGTAATATAAATAAAACGCAAATTAAACCCAATGAAAACTAAACGCAAATTAAATAAATATAGTCCTATCAACCTATCTACCTAGGTAGGTAATAGTTAGGTGTCTCCGTAGTGTCAAAAATACTTTGCGTAGATTATTATTATATACGCTGCTACAACCGCTGGAGCGGAGCGGAGCTACGGTAAGCTTATGATATCTAGGTATGGTATTCAAGAGAATGGGGATGGGATGGGATTTGGATTTGGACTTTGGATTTGCTTCTTTAGGTAATAAAGGTAACATTATTCTTATTTGATTAGATGGGGTAGATACTAAAAGGGAAGAGGGAAGAGGTGGACTGTGACTCTATTGACAAGCCAGCCGAGACTTGGGAACATGGGTTGGGTTGGGCTGGGAGGAAGGGATTGATGGGGGAGAAGAGAGAAGGATTTGTTGGGTTAGGTGAAGAGTTAAGGTTGATCTGATCTGATCTTAGATATATTATAAAAGCTTGTTGCTGATGGATAGGGATCAAATTGAATTGATGATTAGATTGTATTGTATTACTATTATATCTTTTGCCTCTCAAATATACCAACGAATACATACATACATACATACATACATACTTAGGTAGGTAGGTATTCATTCACAAGGGGAAAAGATGAAAAGATGAAAAGATGGAAGAGAAGAATAATAAGTAAGAAGTCGGGTAACCTGATGTACATTGAACAGAAGGTATCAAATACCATCATCCATTTATTACAGGGTAACTCTGGGTATAGATAGGTGGATAGCCAGCCACCTGTACTCCTCTATAGGGCATTGCATTTGCATTCCACTGACGAATATACCTAGGTAGTTGTGGGTGGTGCCACATTAACACTATTTGTACAGAGTACCGGTATAACCTTATATGCTTGCGAAAAGAATGTTCTCTTGCATATCATACCATACCATAACCATATTATCATATCATATCATATCATATCATATGGGAACATACCTACCTACCTATCTACTCTGTTGGAATATGTATGATGATAAATATTTCCCAAAGAAGTAATAGTGTGAGATATGTGAGATGTGAGATGTGAGATGTGAGATTCTCGTGGATATGGTTTATGGGTAGGTAGTAGGTACTCGAGTAATTAACAGTGTTTTAATGTATTTAGCGGTGTTTTAATGATTGGGATACTTCAAGGATGAGAAGACAGAAATCTACGAGGAGTATGAAAGTTGTTTTATATACCGGAATCCGGTAAGGTGTAGATCAGATGGATATGATATCAATCGAGCGAGACATTGAATACTACAGTAGTAATAAAGGCTGGGAATTGGGGAAGACTGGGAAATTTTAGAGATCGACTATGGGGATTTGACTCATTGCTTATTTGAGGGTTTAACTCGATCAAGTTGATTTCCATCTACCTACTTACCCCTCATTCCACTATTCTTTTTCGAAATGTTACGTGACATCGCAAGGGGGAAAATGGTTATTGTATCGATGTATTGATATCTCTGCATCTGGAAATTTTTAGATATTTGTGAGTTTCGTTGAATTTAATGCTTAGGGTACTATGGTTGGTTCAGTGAAATTAATAATGAAGTAGTGAGTACATTGTCGTGGATACAGGAACCTTCGCCATCTATATATTTAAAGATATCACTACCCGTACTCGAAGTAATATACACTCACCGGTATCAAAAAGTATTCCATGGAAATATTGACATTAGGTATACTCGAGTACAATACTTAACCAATACATCGACGAAGCATCTTTTCGATTGCCCTTGCTTTTATTTCTTCATCACCAAAATGCCCAAATGATTCTCTATCTGAAACCTTTCTGGCGCCGTGGCCATCTTGAATATTTCCAAAATCAGGCTTTTCTGGGGGCATTTAAGTTGAAGCGGCATTTATTTGATCAATCATCTCGTTTTCTGTAACGGACGGGATGTTCAGCAGGTCCAAATGATAGGCAGACCGGGGGCCAAAAAGCCATTGCGAACAAATCGGGAGTATCCCAATTCCTCTTCCTTGTCTTAGATGGGGTTTCCCGAAACCTTGTGTTGGTGAAAGAACTCGGGCCCTTGAGATGATGTGAAGTTGTATGTGAAATCAAGATGATTAATCCAAGATCAATCAATATACTTTCTTAATCTTTCTACTGAGTATGCTATTTTAAATCAAGTATCGAATATCGAAGTGGTTCTTGCAAATATTACGGAGGGTTGGATCTGGATCTTTATTATTACCAAAAAATAATAATCATCCAAACTATCCCTGTTCGAAGCCAACGACAATTCGGATCTAGAATCCTTGGATGCGAATCGCTCAAAGTCAGGTACAGTTCGGCAGCAGTGCAGTGCAGGAGTATAATATTATGGATACCTTAACAGCCTTCCTTGCCTTAAAATAAGTAAGTCTTTCTTAAGAAAAGTCAAAAAGAGAAGAAGCTGAAGGCTGTGTTCGTTGTTCTTGGCCTGATACAGTAAGCGTGACTGGTAAAATAAAAATACGGTACGAGATCTTACGGAATTTTGATAATTGGCTGTCAGCAGGATTGGGGAAGAAGCTCTCGTTTATCTCTTTTTGGGTTCTTGTTGATATCACATATATTACAGTTGAGCCGTGTCGCCGTCTTGTCATCTTTTGATACTGTAGTTCGTTCGTTCGTACAGTACGTACTCGAGTACTCGAGTACGTAGGTATGTATATTATATTATTTATTACATGATTCGAGAAATGAGGTTGAGTTGAGATATAAGAAATATGGGGTCAATGTAGATAATTCCCGGAGATGAGGAAAGAGATTCAAATAAGGCGGATGTTGGAGGGTAGATAGCCGGAAAAAGACATAACAACGAGAGTGGAGCATGGTATTTTAGACTTGCAGTAGTCACTTTGCGGCGATTTGCATGGATGGATGGATGGATGGATGTGATGGTTCAATCATCTAAACGATGGGAAGTTTGTGGCTTGAATAAGTACGGTAGATGGGTAGCTTCATATTTGGGTGTACAGATTGAAGAAGAAAGTAACATCGAATTGGGTTATTGAAAAACTCTATTATAGATATAAAGTTTATTAGTTTCATAGTTTTAATGTGTTAGTGTGTTAGTGTGTTATTACTCTCATTTTGCCACCAACAGGCGTTCTTCAATCAGGACTTTAGAGTTCATTCTAATGAAATTGTTGTTGTATAAAGAGCTACCGGTACTGAGTATATGATTGACATTTACTACTGGTTTTCAATATATCTTCACTAATGGTTTTAAATATTTATAATAGTAATACCATAGAGACATACCTAGGTAGTTAGTGAATCATATGAGGGAATCAAACAAGTATACTCCGTAGGTACTTAATACTAAAAGAGAGAATGACTGATTATTGAAAGTATAATAAGTGAGTGAGTGACCTTGAAAGCAAGCCAGCAAGCCAGCAAAAACTTGCATGATACCTATCTAACTACAACCAACAATAAGTTCATACCAGTAAGTCATATCCCCCTCCCCCTCTCTTCCCTCTTTCCTCTTCCCCTTCTCCCATTTTATCTTCTTCTCCCTTTTCCCCGTCAAAAAATATATATAATAATACAAAATAGTATACAGTACCGGTATAATCAATCACTTCACTCTACAAGTTAAGTTAATATATATAAAAAAGAGGGTCCTATATTGTTCAGACAACCCAAACATCCATACAAATTTATCTACACCTTTCTAAATCATCCTTAGTAAATTTTATTATTAATATTTTGTGCATCTTGTGCATCTTATGCACACTGTGCATCTTTACAACGAATCAAAAATGATCTGAGAAATAAACCCATACAAGCCTTAGAAACCCAGCCCAGCCTTTCTCTCTCCAACACAAAGGGCTGTTCATATCTCTCCGAACAACTTTCTTACCCGTAGCTCAGATAGATTCCTACCACCAACTTCAACTCTTCTTCCAATAACTTCATCACTTAATTGATTGTGAGAGTGGTTCATTCATACCAATTAATTGTTACTATTCTATTCTACATGTGATCTTGTATTGAATCATTCATTCTAGATCATTTAAAGTTACAGACTGGTCTGCATTTATTGCCTACAGCGATATAATCATTCACCCTTTTCGCTGGTAAATGGTTTTGTGATTCGACTTCATGCTGAACGCCATTTAAGAACGATCCCTGGTCAGACCCAGCAGAACAATCTCACATACTCCATTCCAATACCTTACAAAATCTACCATCATACGAACAATACATTCTCATCTTGTTACCATTTTGAACCGAGTCGCTTTGGTCAATACCCCAAAATGTCTACTTCGTTAGATATACCTCAAGCCGGCTTGAAGCTGCAAAGTAATCTTCCCTCCAACAAATCCGCCACAAATATCGCACCTGCTATTGGCTTAACTTTGAGCAATGGAATGATCGAGGACATCATCAAATGTTTTCAAAATGGAAAATCAATAGAGCTATCGTTGGGTGGAAGCCCTGTAAGAGATCCTGCCCCTCCCCCCTCCCATGAGTTCATTCACTTTTGGTAGCCGAATTTCATTCACCAGTTTTACGGCAGCATGTATGGCACCAATTGTTCAGTTTTGAGGACAATAGCCATATAAATTCGCTTGATCGTCTAAACAGAAACAATCGCTAATTGTCTTTCTTATTGTGCAAACTAGAATTTAATATATGGCAACAAATCCCATAACCTTTCCGTTTACCACGAACCATATCAATACGAAGTATTCAAGACAGCGAATTCCAACGATACGAGCTCGAACGACTCCAAGATGACGGAACCACAAACTCTCAGTGAACTCAAGTTGGCCAACAAGAAGCTCTCAGGGCCTGGGGCACAACCGCGTTATAAGACGGACAATTTGAAGGCGAGCAAGAAACCTGCTCTGGCAACTGTAGGAGCAGATACAGCACTGGCCAATCTGAGGGAGTCAATGGCTACGGCTCAAGCGAAGAAGGATGGGAATACGTGAGTAGTCATTTGGATACAATTGGACTTGGGAAACTAATTTTAATAGTACAAAACTCATCAACCAAGCACTACCCATACCCACAAAACGAGGAGGTGCCGCGAAAGCCACGAAAAATTCCAAATTACTCTCAACTAGCCGAATCGATACCTCGAGATCAATGCCAGTCAGCCCTGCGCTTTCGGGGTTGGGTTCTCCAGCGTTGGGCGCTACTACGAAGAGTCTCTCGGAAATGCAAGCCGAACAAGCGAAGAGCAGCAGGAAACCCATCGTTCACTTACTCGCTTTAGAACCCATGACGGAAAAGGCACTTAGCGACAGGTTACATGGACCCAAGGGGGATTTCAAGCAAGCTTTAGCTAAGGTTGCAGAGTTGAACTCTGCAACAGGCAAGTGGGAACTCCAAAAGAAATACTACAAGGAGTTGGACGTTTTCAATTACAGATACGGCAATGAGGACGATCGGCAAAGAGCAATCGACAATGCAGTCAAGGTTTTCGATAAAATGAGATTGGGATTGTCGGAACCAGAATGGGAGAAGCTCTTACCTAGATCGGACCGAGGCACCGGAAAGTCACTTAGCAAGGTACAAGCAGGAATCACCAGTCGCCCTGCTGCAATGCCAAAATCTAACGTTTCGAAAAACCGAGACTCCGACGACGAGGAGGACCTGTTTGGTGATAAAATCGTCTCGAAGGTTAAAGGTGAGGCTGTGGTTAGATTAGCTTTCGGACCGCCAACGGACAAGACCCAAAAACGCATCGAGAGAGAGAGAGAAGCACAGGCTAAGAGATTACTTTCCAAGAATCCCGCCAAGGCAGCAGCAGCAGCCCCGAAGCCAAAGCGTGCAAGGAAGACAGTCGAAAAACCAAAATCACCAGCGGCAAAGTCTTTATCCTCTCAATTTGTCAGTGAGTCCGACGACGAAGGGGGACTCTTGAAGAAGCCACAGGTTGCGAAGGCTGCAGTCCAAAAGGCCAGCAACAAACGTGTTCGAGACGAGGAAATTGACTCTAGCGATTCCAGCATGCCTTTGAGTAAGAAAACAAAGATGGGGACTACCGGCTCAAATCAAGTTTCAGATGCTGGTCGATCTTCCCGTCCAAGTTCCAATTCCACGACTTCATCCTCGAATTCCTTCAAAGGAAAAGCGACCACCCCCCCAAAATCCTCACCTTTAGCTTCCTCGCCACCAACCAATGCATCAGACTTCGACAACACGTCTTCTGGTGATCGATCATCAACTTCCGCCTCCCCTGCCAATCACCACACTTTGTCCAATACTCGCAACAATCGATCACCAATCCATAAACGCCACGAAAAGTCGTCCAGTGTTGCCTCATCCGTCTCATCAACTGGTAGCCGCCATTTGAGACCTGGTGTGTTGGACCTCGCTCAACGCTACAAAGCATATTACCCTGTCTATCTAAAAATCCATAATCAATTGGCAACATCCAACGTCAAAAATTCCACCATGGAAGGGGAATTATTGGAAATGCATGAACGCCTGAGCGACCTGAAGAGACAGATCATGGACGGGATCGTTGAGGAATAAACAAATTTTACACAACTGTTTACTATACACGACCGAGTTGGCGAAGTCATTGATATCTCATGTCTATATCTCAGCACAGCAATTACGTATTCCACCTTATCACACACTACACATCAAATTTCAACATACAGTGGCAGCTTTGACTGCAACATTCATTTTATCAACTGCGAGCATCGTATGCTGCACCATAGCTGTAGCGACGTAGCGACAGACTTTATCGCCTCTTCCTCTACTTTTCTGCATACGGAGTCATATGGGTAGGCATTTATTACGGCAGGCAAAGCCGGATGCTTTCTACTTCTTGACTACAATTTTTTTTTGCATCAGTGTTTTGCACACTTTGAATTTTTTTCCTCCCAAGGATGGCGCTTCGATTAAATACCCTTTGGGATGGGGACAAGGACGGATTCGGCGTCAATATTTTCACCTTTGTAACAGCTCCATTGAATTAAAAGGAGGTTCTGGGTACTGGTTTACGCATATGCCTATATGCGAATGCGAAATGCAGATACTGAGTTTCATTTGGATTGGGATTGGGATGAAATGGCGAATACTCTAAATGATTGGAGGATGATTGATAGTTGGTCATTTTACATACGGGTGGTAATACATATTGAAGGCTGAGATGAGAGATGAAGATACAAGATGATGACGGCAGGAAAATGCATATGGTAGAGAGATTGAGAAATTTTCCAAAAAGAAATTTCTTGTAGCAGGTAGAATAGTAAAAGTTAAAGTTTAATGATTCCATAATGTTTGTGTTGCATGTGAATGCTGCTTATATGATGGGGCGGTGATGGATTACTTGATAATAAGATGGTTTTTTTGGCATTCGATGTTGGAGGTAGAGAGTGATTATGGTGGGGGTGGAGGGGGGAGAAGAGGGAGGGGGTTAGTATGACTGATTGATAGGCTATACATGCTGGGTATCTACAAGGTACCTATGGTGTGTGTGGTAGATAGGTAGGTTGGTTGGTAGGCAAATGGAGGATAATGCAGTGGTACTGTAAGATGAAATGAATTGTAACATGTGATATAATTCATTGGAAAATATATTTGAAATGCAAGATGAAATGTAATAAGCTAGAGGTGAGCTAGAGAGAGGTAAGGTGAAGTTAGGGTAGATGAAGTTAGTTGGGGTGAGGTGAGGTTAGGTTAGATGAGGTGAGGTGATGTAAGGTTAGATATGAGTAGGATATGATAGGATAGATAGAATAGGATAGATAGAATAGGATGACAAGGGGGGAGGAGGGAGAGAGGAAGAGAGGAAGGGGAGGAGGAGAAGGGGGATTGATTCGTGTACGATCATTGATGTGACTGAACTGGGGTGGGGTGGGGTATTGTAGATGTAGATGATATACTCGAGTAATACAATATGATATGATGTACCCGAGAAACCATATCATATCATATTACCGGTATCGGTATATCATTATTGTGGATAGTTAGATGAGAAGGGATGGGATGGGGATGGGATGAGATAAGCTAAGGAAAGAAAAGGATATCTGCTAGGATATAGAAGATGAGAGATTGGAGATGGGAATGCGGGTAGATGAGATGAGATGAGATGAAATAAAATAGATGATTAAAAGATAGGCGCGCGCGTATAGTAGCGCAGTGTGGTGTAGTGTGGTGTAGTGTAGTTAGTGTACAGGGAGGGGGGTTTGGAAATTGGAGGTTATGGTGGTAGTGGTAGTGATGGTGGTAGTGATGGATGGTGATGGGTGATGGATGGGGAGGATACGAGCAGGCTGGTTGGTGGGTATGTAGGTATATATGTATATATGCATACTCATGGCTGGCGAGGAAAACCGAGGTGTGGCTGGTACTGTAGTTTGTTGGTGGCGGAGAAGAAGTGCGGTAGGTAGTTTGGAGATGGTCGAATTGGAGGTACCCGTATGTATGTAATACTCGGGTAATTGGGATACTGTTGTGTTGGGTTGTGTTGGTTGTGTTGGTTAGAGTGAAATTCATACAGTAAGCAAGCAAGCGCACAAACCCGGTTATAATTTGGTATGGGTGGGGTGTTCAATTACCTACCTAGGTTTTGATAGAAGTCTAGTTAGGGTGTATGCATGTATGCATGCAAGCGATAAGTTACTGGGTAGTATATAGTGTTGGAAGGTTTTAGATGATTGATACAGTAACTACACGAGGCGCGAGCGCGAAGCGCTTATCTTGTGTCGATCATATTGTTTGGGAATTAGAACTTACCTACTTATGGAGTACATATTTTGAAAACCGTACTGGTATTTGAGATTCGAATTGGATGGGATGTGACTTGTGACTAGTTTACTAACTACTGAATAGGGGGGTTTTGGTGGACTTTTTGGGTTTTGTGAGGAGGATGGATGGGGATGGATGGGGATGGGAGGGATTGGATGGGAATGGAGATAGGGATAGAGATAGAGGGAAGGAAGAATCGAGTATCCACCTATGAAGGTATTGGAGTTTGCGGGTGTGAAGTAAAGTGAAATGTAGTGTGTGAAAGGGAAAAGGTAAGGTTCAAAAAAGATCACAAAATAGAAAAGCTCGAGCGGAAACATATTAAATAGACATTAGAAGCCTCATATATGTAATCGAGTAGCTTAACCTGAATATTGAAGAAATCGGTTTATGTGATATGATGTGAAGTGTGAAGTGCTCTAAAGATTCTGTGACCTTGCTTGCCTGAAATTAAGTGCAATATAAGCTCCAGAAGGAATGCATGTGCAGTGGCGACTAATGGATTCTGGGTGTTATATTCAGTCAGGTCGATTATACTCTCATCTACTTTTCACTTGAAAATATATCGATGGAGTATCAATGATTACGACAGCTAACTCTTGGGGGTGACGAAAAGCTGTGTGGAGTAGATGAGAGTCGTAGTATAAACATTGGAGCCAATATAAGGATCATCTAGCTGATCTGGAGGCTAGAGTTGGAAATTGGAAATACGAAGCCGCACGGGGGAGGCTGGATCCTGGAAATCTTTGATGGGTTTTGAGCCCTGGTTGTATTTTACTTCAAGCTTCACAAGGTATAAAGACTGAGGATCGCATATTGTACATCCAATCGGTAAATATTTCGGTTCAATTTTTCCTGATAACATAACAAATTGATAATTGAAAAAACGCCAGGCCAGTTTGTGCTGTCCTTTTCCTAAACACCGTTTGAACTCATTATCGCTTGCCCTCTTTCCATATACCCTCCGTTGTTACATTGAAGCCTTCATCAAACTAAGTGAGGATTCGTGCCATCTGTGGGTGGGAATGAAACGCTTATTGGGTCTTGAAGAGAAGGATCGCGCAATGACCAAGGTAGAAGTAGATAAAATGTTTTGTTTCTGCGAAAAGGTCAGAAAGAAGTGACAAGAAAAGTCAGGGCTAAAGGAGGAATACCGTGGGTGACGAATGATCCAAAGTTCCGACCCACGATACAATGCCATGTTGGACCTCGTTTCTCATCAAACTGATATGACTCTTTAGTGCCTCATCCTTTGTTTAGTTCATTGGCGATAACTACAGATACGTACGGCTTTCTTGATATATTGTGCGATATCCTATGGTAGATTATGTTAGCAATGAAAAGGAGGTCAGGTAAGACTTGTAAAGGAAGTATTTTACCTTTTCAACTGAATGTTTAATCATAGCTTGTCGGCCTATATACGTCATCAGCATTTCATTTGTATATTCCTTCCGCCACCATCGTGGCCTGCTTCTATCACATCGATCGGGAGGAATTTCAACATACAAACATCAATAGCCTCATCTGCCATGTCGTCGCTCTGTTGAATGAATCAGTGACCGTCGCAGATCACCGCATAGAATGCAATTAACTCACCATGTCGACCGATTTGATCTGAGCTGCAACACATCATAATTAGTCAGGATACGGTAGAAAGGAAAACGTCGAGCAGTCTGGGGAGATGTCGTGGAAGTTCGGGACTGATACATACCCGGCATGCTTTCTTCTACATTTTCTTGTGGAACTGCCATTTTGATTGATTGAATACTTAGATACTGTGCGTATTAAATCTGGTAGGAGATGCTGCGTTATGGAAATGTTCAAATGTTCACAGAGTCGAAATGTGGAATTGTTCTTCCGGAATAACAATCCAGCATTGTGGAGAATAGGAGGAAGAGAGAAAGGCTGATAATTTAGCCGAAGTTCTACAATGAGATTTTTAGAACTTAACTGAATGATGCTGAATCACAGACATCTGAGTTTTGGCATCCCAGTATCTAGACAGTTTGTACCATAACCTTTTATTAATTTCAGTTCAGATGAAGGAAGTAGTATACTATTCCTAGGAAGCTTACTTACATCTTCTTCATAGCAATGTATATATAAGTATAGTATCATGTTTAGATTTCCATTGCAGATGTTCTTGCATTGAAAGGTGCACGGATCATATAGTGATGGGGGCGCCAGATTTAAGCTCAAGGCTAAGAGTAGGGCTCCGCTCCGCTGTGGATACACATTCATTCCCATGAAAAAAATATTTGGTGATCGGCTTGACAAGTTCACAACCTTCAAAAAGTAATCTTGCGCCATCATACTTCATCAAACCCAATGCACTGATATATTATGTCATACACAACCTACAATCCTCCAACCCTTCTACTACCCACTATGGCTTCTTCACGCATATTCATCAAGGGACTTCCTCCAAATATTACCGAGGATGAATTTAAAGTTCATTTTGGCGCGAAGCATGAAATCACTGATGCAAAATTGATTTCTCACCGGAGAATTGGTTATGTTGGTTACAAAACGCCCGAAGAAGCCGCAAATGCAGTCAAATATTTCAACAAATCATTTGTACGAATGTCAAAGATCGGCGTGGAGATTGCTAGACCTGTAAATAACCCCCCCCTCGACCAAAAGCAAACGCTTGAGGGTCTAAACTAATATCATTGAAGATATCAGATGCGACATTACCTGTGTCGAGGAAAACACAACGTGAACAAGAACGAGAGAGTATCAAGTTACGAAAGCTTGAACAAGAGGCTGATGATGCAAAAGCATCCGAAAATCTAAATACTGGAACGAAGAGAAAGCGAAGTGATGTGGATGCTGCGGATCCTAAACTACAGGAGTTCATGGAGGTCATGCAACCGGCCTCAAAGTCGAATTCGAATATGTGGAAAGCCGGAACTATGGATGATGATATGGAGGAACCGCCAACGAAGTTACAAGCCATTGAAGTACCGGAGGAAGAAAGCGATGGCGAATATCAGTCTGTACCTAGTAAGGCTAAAAAGGCACCTGCAAAGGCCGTGGAACCACAACCACCTGCTGCGACTGCTGTACCAGTTGCCTCAACTGACATTGCCGACAATTCGAACCAAGCGGACCAGACGATGATTCATACACCCTCTAATAATGTTGAAGCCACAGATGATGACTGGCTGAGGAATCATACTAGTCGATTGATAGATATAATGGACCCGGAAGACATTATTCCCAAAACAAAAAATCTAAACGTCAAGGATGTCGAAGAGGTGACTGCGGAAGGAGCAGAGCCCAATGCACCAGTTGAAGATATGATTGTCGACGAAGAATCAGAAGCTGTCGTAGGAGAGGCCGAAAACCCACCTTCAGAACTCGATACGACACTTGAAACGATCAAAGCCAGTGGACGATTGTTCGTGCGAAACTTGCCATACAGTGCCACGGAGGATGACCTGCGGAAGCATTTCGAACAATACGGATCTCTAGAAGAGGTAAGCAACGAAGCTCTGTTGGCATGGTATTTTTTTCCTTTCAGCTTCATGATGAATATCCAGATAGGGACAGCTTATGCTTTAAAGCATGTGATGTGAACTGGACGAATATTTTAGTAGATACTTCGTGTTTTCTGAAAGCTATCATCAGCTCCTTTTATGTCTGTTTTGATTGGCCAAAGTAGAGCTCGCTGACCGATATTTTAGATACATTTACCAGTGGATCCCAAAGGTGTCAGCAAAGGTTTCGTGCTAGTGCAATACACGGACCCAAATGCTGCTGCTGAAGCATATCATAACATAGATGGCGAGCCTTTCCAAGGAAGATTATTACACATATTACCTGCTGCAGCCAAACGAGATAACAAGCTAGATGAGTTCGCGATAGCAAAACTCCCCTTGAAGAAGCAGAGACTTCTCAAGAAGAAGGCCGATTCTTCCTCGAACACTTTCAATTGGAACTCTTTATATATGAATCAGGATGCTGTGAATTCATCGGTGGCTGAACGCTTGGGAGTATCGAAATCCGAACTTCTTGACCCAACTTCGGCAGATGCTGGAGTCAAGCAAGCCATTGCTGAGACTTCAGTCATTCAAGAAACCAAGTCGTACTTCGCAAATAATGGAGTCGATCTTGATGCATTCAAGAAACGCGAGCGTGGAGACACCGCCATATTGGTTAAAAACTTCACCTACGGCATGACTCTAGATGAGCTTCGAAAGATGTTCGAAGAGTTTGGCCAAGTTATTCGTGTTCTCATGCCCCCGACTGGTACGATCGCAATTGTTGAGTTCGCACAACAAACACACGCAAGAGCAGCATTTGCAAGCCTTGCATATCGACGTATGAAGGATACAGTACTTTTCCTAGAGAAGGCGCCCAAGGACCTCTTCACTGGTCCTGCTCCTACTCAACCAGTGGCAACAATCAATAGGAATGCAGATAAAGCAGCCGATCCTAAATTCTCAACATCTGATCTACTTGAAAGTGAAAGTGGCGTTGAAAATGTGGACACAAGTACCTTATTCGTCCGTAATCTTAACTTCATCACGACGAGTCAACGTCTCACGGAAATTTTCAAGCCCCTTGATGGCTTTTTATCGGCACGCGTCAATACGAAGACGGATCCAAAGAAGCCAGGCCAAGTTCTCAGCATGGGTTTTGGCTTCATAGAATTTAGAACCAAATCTCAAGCACAGGCGGCAATCAAGGCGATGGATGGATACACACTTGACAACCATAAATTACTGGTCAAGGCGTCTCACAAAGGAGCCGATGCTGCCGAGGATAAGAGGAAAGAAGACAGAGCTAAGAAGTTGGCAGGCAAACGCACGAAACTTATTGTTAAGAATTTACCGTTTGAAGCTTCCAAATCCGACATCCGAAAGCTGTTTGGAACGTATGGACAGCTCCGATCGGTGCGCATGCCCAAGAAATTCGATCATTCAACACGTGGTTTCGCTTTTGCAGACTTCATTACGGCTCGTGAAGCGGAGAATGCACTAGAGGCTCTCAAGGATACCCATCTTCTTGGCCGTCGCCTGGTAATCGACTTTGCTTCCGAAGAAACTGTTGACGCAGAAGAAGAGATTGAAAAAATGCAAAAGAAAGTTGGATCACAAGTCAACAAAGTTGCCTTACAAAATCTTACTGGAGGAGGTCGCAAGAAATTCAATATTGAAGGCAACGATGCGGATCTGGATTGAGGGAACTTACTTTAGGTATTTATCAATAATTCGCATATTCTATTAAGATCAAATTCCCTGGATTATATTGTTCGCAAAATGGCAAGCTTCCATCTCCCTTGCCAAATTTATACACAAAACAATTCAATGTCACCCCTGCACAGAAAGCCCTGAATGGAAACCCTTCAACACTTGAATGGAAGGAAAATTATCTCTCTAAAATTCAATTATTGGTTTGGTCCGCAATTCTGCACGATAGGGATTATTTATTTGTTGTGGTTAATTTCCAAGATGCTTCGATGTGATTTTGCTATCTTCTCATTATTTCACTTCTCCCTTGATGAATGCCATACAAAGAGAAGTATGCGAAACCATCGTTTGTGATAATCTTTACTTCCTAAACGTTACTGTACATGGACTCTTCATCATAATCATACTCGTAGGCCTTGGAGAAATTGGTGAAGAGGAAATTACATGCTCGCGCAAATGAAGCATTCCTCACGTTGTTGTGACTTTCCCCGCAACAACCTGATTTCCTTACGTCGGTGAGATCAGAGGTGGGGATATTTTAGTCTTTGAGCTCTCTAAGCTTTGTGGCGTTTGCAAACGTTTGCCTGGGCTGTCAATGAAGGTAGATCTGGCTGATCCCCTTCGAAACAGCCCTGCATCCTAGCCATATACATTATATCTACTTCACTTCCTTAATAAGCTGTCAGGGCCTTCCTACTTCATTCTTAACCTGTTGATATTCCCTCGTGCAACTTCATTCTAAGCTTTCCGCTGCCATTCCTCTAAACATTTTTCACTCCAATCTTGATTCTTCGTCAACCACAAACACATTTTTCTTGCACAGCCTACTTTGAGTTTGGGTGCAAATGCTACACTGAGTGAGATTTCGAACCCGTCGAAGCATTCTTCAACCCCATCCAGTCGATGGAAGATCCCCGGAATATATTGCCACCAGGATATCCATCGCAACAGCTTCTGGACGAATCCAGTGGGCTGTCAAGGCTCAAAGAGCCTCTTTCGGATTCTACGGGTAACGCTCAGCTTCACGAGCTGGCGTCGGTAAATATATATCATGATAGCAAGAGACATCCCATGAGGGGTCAAGAAAGATCAATGTATTCTATGCCTACTCTACCTTCACAACCTCTTCGCCCACCTGCAGGCAATACGCTGGAACTTCGTAAACGACAAAATCGGCAACAACGTTTCAATAGACATAGCAATCGCAACCCAATAGTTGATTCGCCTCAGTATCAAGCATATCGAGCTCGGGCAAATCGAGATGGAAATCCCGTAGGTGACTCGAAATGGCCTGAGGTTCTCGAAAATGCCTTTCTTGATGGTTAGTACACTTCCAGCATCTTCACGATGGAAAAGAGACTGACGACTCCAAGCTCTTCTTGCCATCCCTTATATGGCAAGACGAAAATTTTCTTTCGGGGGTAAACTTCATGGTCGAAATGAGCTTATCAAAGAATATCTTTGGATTGCATACAAGAATACACTCCCTCCCGGTCAACGTCCGGATCCCACTATGATGCGCACGAGAAAGCAGGTTTCTAGTCACATTCAAGTCATTAAAGGATTTATGAGCCCTCATCCTGCGCTATGTAAGAATTTCCTCAATGAAATATTCGAAATATAGGCTAATATTTTGCAGATCAACGTCTTTTCCCCCTGAGCAAGGGTCCCAAAAATGGATTCGAAGATTCATTCAAGAAGGACCCTACACTTATAGCACTTTCGCAAGGTCGACTACCTAGCAGAAGTTATGATCAATATGAAGGTCTCCAACAAATAATACTCAGCAATCATCATCCTATGAAGCCTGCTGCATTCTGGTTGCTCATGACACCCTTCGCTGTACCAAATGAACGAAATGGAGTTATGAAAACCGAACAAGATCTTCGACGAGATGGTCTAGTACTTCATAGGTACTCCGGTCTATCATCACCAAAACCACGCGGAAGTCTTGAATCAATACTCCACTGGCGACAAAAGTTTCCTCACCTGGCACAATTACACTCTACCGGTGATCTGAATTGTGATATAATTCATATGGATGTATCCTTAGATTTGATGAAAACACATGCTCCAGATAATAGTGAGCTATTGACTCGATTGGAGGTGTCTATACCAAGCAGAGACCTTGCTGGACTTCGTTGGCAATCTGTGACGAGCCTAATCAAACCTGCAGATCTCTATGGCGACCCTACGAGAGACCCTGTCTTGGAAGGTACGGCGTTACCAATGACAGTCCTTGGAGGGGCCGGCAACGAGGTTCGAATCAAAGTCGCTATACCTGCCGAGACTTGGGCGTACACATTTACACAACTCATGAACCTTCATTTTGAAATTGAAAAGAACCGCCTTCCACAATCATATGGAGGAGATGGCTGTCCCACAAACTCCATTCGAGAGTATGTTGATCAAATCTCAATGTATCAAGAACTACAGTCTTCGGCAGGTGAACAATTGTCGTTCATTCGACGAGCCATTCTCATCTGGACATTTCACAAAGCTCGCAGCGGAGAAGGAAACGACACCACCTGGCGCTATATCGATCCCGCTCCCCCACGTCACATGTGTATGTCACCATCACCACACCCCAGCAACCATGGCCTTACCAATCTCGAACATTACAATTCCTGGCCCGAATCGCCTCTTCACCTCCAACAACCCAGCCTTCTCAACTCCTTTGTCCAAGGTCTTACTACCCCTCCCCACACAGCTAGTCTCCAATCTCCTTTCGATACAACAGGTTATGCATATCCTACCCAGCATTTCGATATGTCCAACGAGAACATCAGTTTTGTGTCCCATGTAACTGTGGACAGCGAGTCTACACTTGTAAATGAATCCGATCCTACGAATCAAATCGATAGTTTCCTCAGTAATTCGGCGGGGATTGGCATGGGAGCTTATGGGGATGTGAACGGTCATTATTATGGACATTTACCGACCAATACTGGTACTGCTAACGAATCATTCGATGCGGATCCAGCGTGGGCAAATTATTCCGTGCCGGCTGGTACGCCTTGGAAACATAGTGAGGAGGATAAAGGCTTAGCGTGGCCAGATACGAGCACGCAGATCGAACCTACTAATAAAGATGCGTGGACGAATGAAACACAACAGCAAAAACAGACACAAGCAGCATGGAATGAAGATGAGATTGATTTTGATGGTGTTCATGTTAATGGGAGGGATAGTGTGCCGGGTAAACATGCAAATGAGATGCCTTGGTCGGATGTGGTGATGAGTAGTAGTCGGAGTAAACAGAATGGGAATGGGAGTTATGAGAGCAATATTGAGAGCAACATTGAGTCGAAATTGTTGCCATGGATTGAACAGGCGACCGCGGAAGAAGAAGCTCAAGCGCAAGCTCGAAGAAATGCAGTGGATTATGGGGATGATGTTCAAGCTGTGGGTCTGGGTGTAGATGTTGGGGTGGATGTTTCTGGGATTGGGGTGCAGCTGGAGGGGCAAGTTGATGCGGGGGGTGTTAGTGAACACGAGGATACTATTACGAAAGAGCAGCAGTTCGAACATCACGATCATGATCACGATACGCATGAACAACATCAGCATCAGCATCATCCTCAACTGCATCAACATCTGCATCAACACGATCAATTGGAACAAGCGGATTGGCCGCCACGCCTCAATGATATCAATACCATTGGAGCTGGAGTCGATGTCAATGTCGATATCAATCATTCCAACGGCTACGCTTTCGAACACATGGAAGAACGTGTCTCAATCAAATCTTAATATGTGTTTCACTATTATCCTTCCTTGTAACAAAAGTAGTAAATGGTTCTCGAGAGGGAGTAAGTGTAAGGTATAGCAGAGCTTTAATTTTATTTTGGGGGTAAGCCTGGGTTTGGGTTGGATTGTTTGAATGAGGGAAAATTCCTTGCGATCTAGTTTATTTATTTTCGAGTTCACTTACTTTACTTGACTTCATTCTTCAAATAGTTTTTAATATTCATTCATTCATTTATTCATTCAATTATTTACTTGCGTGCAATGATATGATGCATGGTCGAATTCAATTCAATTCAATTCAATCTTTGGGTACGATTCCCTGTGTTCGTCCGTTTTTGGGTGAGGCCAGGAGGTAGGTTCGTGTGAAGTGAGGTGAGGTGAGATGAGGTGAGGTTTGGAAGGGTGTAATTTTTGCCTTGCTTGGTGTTGGGTGACCTCGCTTCGCTTATTTATTAGATTTACTGGATGTTTATCCCTTTTCTGAATTGGGTATTGGTATTGATATTGATTGACATTCTCCCTAAGCGGATCATCAGATAACGGCGATACAATGATTGATCTATGATGGAAGGGAAAATTCGTGTATAGTATGGAATTTACTTGGTTCAGCTCAAATTAATGAAATTTTGTTCCTGTTGGTAGGGAAGGGGTTTGAATTGAGTACCTAGTAGGTAATACTCGTACAATAACTACGAACTTCATCCCCAGCACCACCCTTAGCCCACGATCCAACACCCCTTCAAAATAGAAATAAGCCAATAAAATTCTTCTATCTATCTATCTATCTATCACCTCCTCTTCATCAAAGCACCAAAGCGCTCTCCCTTAGATACGCACGCATACACCGAAGAATAGGTCAGCGACATATCATGTATCCGCCGTGAATTTTCACGCGTGCAAAACTACTTGTGTGAATATTTCCACGTACGGAGAATTTGTGGATGGCTGAGCGGTGGACTGGGGAGATTTTGTATGAGTATAGTGATTTATTGGTGACTATGGGAAGTTGTGTTTGTTATTTATGAATGGATGTTGATTGTTGATCGTTGAGACGCGATGCGATGAGATGTCAGTTATAAGTGAGTTGGATGAGTGTACTGTTTCCGGGAGTGAGGATGTAGAAACTTGAAGGGAAAATTGGGTTATGAACTTATGGTGCGGATTTTAAATTGGAAGTGGAAGTGGAAGTGGAAGTGAAAGGGATATAAGGATATATAGAAATGCTCCTCTCGTTGGGTTTCTCGAGGTGCCGTTGCGGATTGCAAGGTCGGAGCCTGAGTTCGTTGGTGTTGTTGGCATAGCTCCATGTTCTACCTGATCTATATGAATGATGTGTGCTAGGGGGTTTATTGTGCTATTTGATGTCCTATGAGTTTTGTTCATTTCGGGATCAGAAGTACAACACTCTTGGGTGGATATATCGAGATCTGTATTGTAATCTTGATTGGAGATGGACTTCATTCAGTACGAGGAATGAGAGTAGGTAACTATTTGGTTGATTCAAGTGTGCAGTCTGCTGCTTGCCGAATATGAATACTTAACAAATCTTGGGGAGGCATGAACTGATGACTTGGAGGAGCGTTTTTAGGCATGTGATGATTGTTAAATACATGATCTCCCTGCTAGTATTTTGGCCCCTAGTACCAGAATCATTCCGGAATTAAACATGACAAATAGAGAATCAATGCATAAGTGCAGTGGCTAGATGGAAGTATCACATTGGATCTTCTTAACGAATCCTTAACATGAGATCTCCCTCTTGCCCCCTAAGGGAAGAAGGGGTGGCTAGTAGCTGTTTTGGTTTGATGTGTTTGTTTTTATTTCCTAGCTATATACTTACACTTAGTTGTGAGTGATTTCCTTCATGTGAAGTGAAGAATGGGAATTGAAAGAGTGAGGAGGAGGAATAGAAGCGAAACCTTGTCGGCTCTTCCAGGACATTCCTTCCTTTCATTGCGTGGATTTAGGTAGTTATGTATCTAAGCCCTTGTTTCAGGACTGTTACTTTGCCGTTTTGGATATGTAATAATATCAATTTCCATATGTAGCTAGAAAAAGTGAATCTTCGACGAAGGATCCTGAGATCCATAAACTTGTATTTGGCATGGTTCTACTTCCAATTCCTATATAAACAATTTGAACGTATAGCTAGCTGCCATACATTGGCTTTCAACTTTTAAAGTGAACTAAAGAGGTTCGGTTATACTTTCGCTCACTCTTAACCATTCAACTTCCAAACTCATTAACCAAAATCATACAGCCACAACTTTGTAGACCGGTCATCGATCCATGAAAATGGAAGTCTACAAAAGCGTATACGATAAACTGCTCTCCAAAGCAATCAGTTACGGCTAAGTTGAACAACAAGTCCTGGATATTCTAACTGCAAGTCATGATCGGGTTGATCGGAGAACATATAAGAATATTCCGGATGGAGAGAGACATTGGATGGCGGAACGATGGGCATGGGAGACGTTGTGTGAGTGTCTTCTATTGGAGAGGTTATGTTCATCACTAATGAGATGATAGTTGCGGATGAAATGGAGGCGTTTCCGGGCGAGAAACCAAAGTGGAAAGGAGCGGCGAAATATTTGGAGCATCAATCACCTGAGGCGGGAGAGTCATCGAAGGATACTCAAGCCGAAGCTAGTGATTTATCTGAATTGCCGGAGGTGGAACTCATACCATCCTCTCAGCTTAAGACGTGGCGGCAGCAGGTGGACGCTTCAGTGTCAAAGAGAAATAGAGCCGCTCCTGTTGTTAATACTCATGGTACATCTAGCAAGATCGTCGACGGAGCTTCAGCTTCACTGAAAAAGCCGCGCAAAAGGTTGAAGACCAGTAATCATGCCGGAACCGCCATCGAAAATACTCCTAAGACTTCAGCGGTGCTTTCGACCACGACTCTGTCACCTTTGGGTGTGGATGCAAGAAAGATCAAGCGCGACGAGTTAATTTTCTTCGTGGATGATTTGAATGAAGGTTCGGAAAGACCTGATTACAACGACTGAATTTCATTGTGCAACTGAGGGTGCTGCAGGAAGTAAAACTTGGTGGAAGGCGGAATGAATGGATGATTTTCCTTTTCGATCTAGCTTGATTCTGATAGGTACTGGATATAGCATCAAGCATCTTTTCAATCACTTATATCAGATCAATACCGATTACTTGAATCACAAGAGATTATGACATTGCCAATGATAGCTATGAGAGACAAAGGAACCCAGAGACTGCTTATGCACGCCGCAATTTATCTTACTGCACTGCACGTAAGTAATGCGACATAGTATTTACAGCGATCTTTTTGCGCCGATAGTTCCTCTGTCTTTTACACCCATGTGACAATTCACATCTTCAATCTTCGCCATCAATCGAAACTGTTCGATATATTCTGATTGAAACTCAGCATTTCCTCCATTTCATTTTGCTATTCAACCTTGTCATCTGAACGTCATTCGATCCCTCAAGCAAACCTTCTATAGTTAAGTAATTTGACCTAACTATTACCGTCTCATCTGTGAGTCTACAGAACCCATCACAGATGCTGATGTCAGATATTGACGTTCTTTTGCTCGAATGCAACACCAATCATATTTTGGTCCGGCCTCGCTGTGGACGGCGAGCTTGTGAGACGATATTAAAGGAGCAAGACATCTAGAATTTTGATGAGACATTCTGTTCTTTTGAATATGGTCTCTGCGCGGTAGTAGGATCTAAAGAGCCGGAAGATTAATATGCTTGAAGTAGTTTGAGGCTGTAGCTTTGTTGTGTCCTTTCACTAAGTGATGTATACAGGTTAAAAATAGATCAAGAAGCTAGCAGCTAGGACTCGTATAATACCCCCTGTAGCGAGTACTGCAAAATAGCCGACTTCCATTCATTGCCATGAGGCTGAAAGGGTCAATGTGGCCATCTGCTTTCAGACTTTAGTGCATCATAAACTACGGTACTCAACGACCTCAATTACGACAGAAGAAGCAGCGCTTTAATTAATATACTCTCTATCGCTTCGCTTTGAATAGCCAATAATACATCAATCAATATGCTATCCACCGGCTTCGCAGATGTGCCGGTAACGCGCAGCCTTGTCTATGGGGTGATCGCAACGTCGATCCTCGCCAGCATTACAGATTCAAAGCATTTCTTCTACATACAAGCCGATCCTCACCTGCTACGGTATCATCAGCTATGGCGCATGCTCACTTATCAATTGTGTTATACCAATTCGACAGAGGTGTTCTTTGGCGCCATCACTTACTATAATATGAGAGTGGTGGAAAGGTTATGGGGATCTCGTAGATTTGCCGTGAGTGATTAAATCCTTGCCCTGTATGTATATCTGCTTAAAGTGATGTCCAGTCTTTACTCCTGCTATCCTTCTGCTTCGCTTCGATATTATCACCAATCTTGGTCGTTCTTCTACGACCTCTTTCATTATACACGATAAATTACCTACCCGCAGGACCTACAGCTCTAATCTTCGCTATTCTTGCCCAATATCATGCCGTTATTCCACATCAATACAAATACAAAGTTGCCGCAACCTCTGCACCCATGACCGAAGAGAACTTCGTAGGCGTTACGTTCTCGGATAAATCATACATATATCTCCCCGCTATCCAACTTGGCCTTTCCCAGTTCCCAGGCTCACTTATATCTGCTCTGGTGGGTTGGACTATTGGTTGCTGTTGGCGAAACGATATGCTGCCTACAACTATCACACGATGGAGATTACCAGGCTGGATGGTGGGTGTTCAAACCAAGAAAAGGAGCGAGGGTTTTGAAGGAATGAGGAGGAGATTAGAAGGGGAGAATACAGCGGCTGCCACTGGCTCAGACGGCCAGTTGGGTGGAGAAGTCGGGAGAAGAAGAACTTTGGCGAGCCAGTTCATAGACCAATTCAGAGGTGCATCTTAATGTTCCGGTCGATAAAAAATATCAATGACTTTACAGTTCATTTATCTCTCTATCCAAGGATACCCAAGTTACTGTTAATCCATCAACCCGACCATCGAACCTAGTCAATGATCAATCCGATACTTCGTACAGCTTTTAGTAAAAGAATGATGTCAACGAGATCTTTGATAAGGGCTTGCAAAATAGACTTTTCTTATTCATGGGAGTTATCCTCTATCAAACGTCATCAGAGTGGGCACAGGAGTCAAATACCGCCGCCGAGGGGGCAATCCAGACATGCATGCAGCAGACACACTCTGAACGCTGAATCCCAATTATTGCAAGACTCTTTCACTCAAGATAAGCAACAAAAGTCTAAAAATACCAAAATAGTGCTCCTAGTGGTAACAACACTGTATCCTTTGGTTGAGACATGCGACAAGATTTTCAATTTACTGGTGTTCAAACTCATTAGAACCAGTGTTGCTGGTAGAAGAGTATAGTAGTGTCCTTCACTTGAGGTCTGCAATAAAACTATTCACCAAACGGATTATCATGAGACTGCTGACCGCGGAGCGGTATTGAGATATACAGCCATGCTAGATGTGATGTAGGTCCAATTCCCGGGAAGGATGGCTTTTAGAAATCTCATTCTCATTGCCTCGGAACACACTTTATTTATCAATTCCTTACATTCTTTGTTTCGAAGCTTGGAAAGAGTTTTAGTCTTGACGGTTAGTATGGAGGTGTATGCGAATTGCTTTGTGGTCATAAATCTTTCACTACTCACTACGAGATTCGAGGAAGTAAGCAGATACAGTACTACTCATTCAGCTCTACTCATATAAACATGGGTATTGCCAAAGGGGTTTTCATGCATAGGTTGGCAGTCAAAGCAGAACCCAACAAGTGCTGAAGAATCAGCGTTTCTAAAAGAAACTCTCAAAGAAACTGGATGAGAATAGCATATAATTAAATTCCATATTATAATTTCGGAATTCTATCTCTTGATACGAAATACTGTATCTGCGCTAAATCTGCTACAAATTTCAAATTTCTCATCGGAATCGTGTATTAATATTCATGATACAAAACAAAAACGTCTAGATCCCCAGTAAACACCACCCAGAAAAGATGGAAACCTGCCCAGTGGCATATACCTGCTCTTCATCATACAATAATCCTTGTCTTCTTGCTATATATTATATGAAGCCAGGCTTATCTTTTACCTGACGAATTATCCAGACTTAGACTAGACTTCATGCTTGTACGATCGCTCCCCCTCAAAATGTTATTAAATGATCTCCTACTCCCTGTTACCCGTCCTATTGTTACCTCTATCCTTCTCAGAAGGACCATATCCCATAACCACCCCCGTCTCCGGTATCTCCGGCCACTCATCCCTCCAACTCGTCACACCTTCACTTAACCTTCCAATACTACTCTCCGCTCCTGTACCCCCATTCCGCAATCCCCTCAATTGCACAAATCTCCCCTCTTCCCCCAACGTCGGCGAAACTAGCTCCTGAACCTCCATACTCTCCCCCGATAGCTCCACTGGAAGAAGTCTTTCCTCAGTAAGCTCAAATCTATACCCCGTATCCGTATTTCCTAATTCCACTTTCTTGCTCTCTCCATTCAGTTGATAAATTTCTCTTTCTGTGTCATATATTCCACTATTGGGGGTATGTGAAATACTCTCATTCCGCGAGAGAATTGAAGAAATATATGGCGCTTGTTTTAGCATATGGTCTTGAGGTTCAGGAGAGTAGAGCTCGGAGCTAGGCGCAAGGGAATTGTGTTCTGATGGCGTGACAGGCTTTTTGTCATTATCGGTGGTGATGTTACTTTGGATATCGGTCAGTGCGAGAGTGCCGACGATGAGTTGCGAGTCTCGGGCTCGTTTATGTTGCTTATGGCGGTAGAAAAAAAATGCAGCGGAAGAAATGAAGATGAGGGTAAAGACACCGATGGCAATACCGGCTATTGTACCGGTTGAGATAGGTTTGGGAGAATACTTGTCTGATGATGAGCTAGTGTCATTGCTGGAATTTGAGGTCTCATTTGATGGCGCTTTGATGGCAATCACGTTCGAGGTTGCACCGTCGATCCAAGTGCATTGGTTTATGGAGAAATTGCATCGATCGTAGTCGACAGTTAAGTAAGCTTCTTGTAGAAATACACGACCAAGCGTATATTGTGTATCGTTTGCGGCGCGCTTGAGTGGAAAGTAATAGGTAGTGTTATCGACAAATGGATACGTTCCCTGGAGAGCAAATGCACTAAATGGGAGCTGGATGTTGACGGTGGAGCCTCCAGAAATAGTGTTGGCGAGAGTGAACGTTACTGTTGGGTCGGTGCCAGAAAGGAGATTATATTGCGTGGAATTAATGAGATACATCGAGATAGTTTCGTTCCAGACTAAACCGAATGCCTTTTCAAAAAGAAGACATGCGCTAAGAGGTAGCCATATGTTCGGGTCTGTCGATTCTACGAACGCGTATATGGGATCTTGTAATAGCGAAGTAGTGGCCTGTCCTTGATAGATGATTGCCTGAATGCCAACAAGTAAATCACGTGTAACATCTGCATTCAGGGAAAAGGTTATGGGGCTGGGTTGATACCGAGATGCATCAAATCCACCGAATATAAGCTGGGCAAACTGGCCTGCTTTAAGTCCTGATCGAATGTTAATTGCTAGCTATTACTCTTGCATCAAAGAGGTCTTACGATATTTAGCCCCAGCAGTATAGCTCCAGCTCAAGCTCGGTATAAGTTTTTGATTTCGTAAGCTTTGAAAGAAGGAGGGAACAGAAACATTGCCGAAGGTCTGATAGATAACTGGCTGCCTGCCTAAACCAAAAACACCACTTTTCACCATAAGTCAATAAAAATACGTGGTATCGTTAGATGACATACGTGAATAATGGCGAAGCTAGTGCATATGCTGCGACTGTTTGGTTCTTCAGAGTAGGTCCATCTGCGCTATCAGAGTATCCCAAGCCTAGAGTGTCCAGACCATAGTCTGCATCAAAGTTGTATCCCAGATTTGCCTCGAACCCGTACCTCACGCCATTAATCCCGAATATCCCTTGATCAATCCAGGTTTTCGATGAAGTGTTGTTAAAAGTCCCGCCTCGAGAGTCCGCACAATCTGCTGGGACCGGGTCAATCGCATTTGTCGTGCAGCCTCCAGGGAGCACAACCAGTGTAGCTGGAGAATTTGTAGAAATAATCACTCGAACACTTGTCGCCGGTGTGCCTACCCTTACATTGAACGTACTCCAATGTCCGTTGACACCCTCAAAGTATTGACTAGGCGGGACGACTATTGGAGCAGGAATGAATTCGGCGATATCTTTGCGTGTCTCATAGTATGATTTGAAGTCGACATCGCTGTCAACCGATCTCGCGAAGATGCTTGCCGTGATAGTGAAGATTAGAAATCCTACTTTGCAGCGAATATTGCGCATCACGGCAGAATGGCATGCCTATCGCTGATATAATAGATATGTTATAAAAAGAATGTAATAACTGGTCGTTATAAGAAGAGAAGCATGAAAGCCATTGAGAAAAAACTGCGTCTAGCCCGCATCAGCATATGCCCTTTTACAGTATAAAAAAATCAGCCTTGTGTATTGACTGTAACAATAAGGAGGTTTCTCGGCCCACGGCTAGCTTCGAGAGAGATCTTATCCCATGCAGTCTAGTACTCCCAATATCAGGGGTAATGGTATAACAGAGCAGCCACAGCTTTACAAATAGATTCAACAAATTTTCAATGGATGTCAGATCCTGCCTCGTATGTTCATACATACGCCAAACCAAGGAAATTTGCTTAATACGATACTGGTGTCTGAATCGCCATGCTTAGAATTTTCAAAGGGTTGCAAACGAAATGGCCGGCGTTTGCCTCGGGAGCATGGATCCAGTTGCTTCACCAGCTTGGTGTCACGGTATGTAAGAACCGATGATTCCCAACTTGAAAGTCAAATTGCAAAGTAAAAACTCCAAAATATCTTTCAAGATAACCAGGTACAAGTCAGAGACTTGAACTTGAGACATCCTGGAGGTTGAAAGGTTGGGACAATATACTATTTTTGGCGCAGTTTTATTGTTGTATCAATCAAATGGCTGAAGAAGGTATGGCAGTGGAAGCCACTTGAAGCGCTAGTCTGCAACAGGAAATAGCGCTACTTTACCCCTGAAACCTACCTACCTAACTTGAGAGCTTAGTTTCAACCTCATCTCGTGCTTATTAATTCCCTTCTCCTTCAGCCCTCATAAATGAATGAAGTTAGGATATGAACTTTCACACAGTGATCTTGCTGTGAAGTTCATAGCAATATATCCCGTCACCTGTGCCACTCGGAGAAAAAAAACAGAAATGACATTATATTGTCTCTGCCTCTATCGGATTCAATGTCTTCCTCGTGAATCTGACCAAAATCGCCCAGGTCAAATCCTTCAAAGTATTTTGATTGAGTGCCCTTGCCATTACACCAGAATTTCAAACGCCTAGGTGACACTTTTTTGAGTGCTATTGATACTAACCTGAAGAATAACTATATCTGTTACCTGTAGGCTGACATGTACAGCATATTTACCTTCTGAATGGGGGCCAACGAGCCAAATATGTAGCTACAGGACGGCTTTGGATATTAGGGATCGATTATTCAGCTTACGTACATGAGCGTGCCTTATTTCAATGATCCTTAGTACTACGTTACAGTTCGAGAAAGAGACTCACTTGGGACTTGGCCACAGATCGGAGGCTGAGGTAAAATTTACTTCGTATCACGGAAGTTTCCATCCAAGAATTTGGTGAAAGGAGAAGCTCTTTGCCCCTGATGGTTGTAAAAATTATACTGTGAATTCCACGGCTCAAATTTAGTAGTTAAACTTTTGGTATACATACTTCATTCTTCCAGAATCCTAACGCGGGGCTCGTTTCTATTCTTTTCCTTTTCTTTTTTATTTAGCATTCGAGCCACATCGTTTGGATAGTTCCCTTATGTACCTGTTCACTGGAGGCGATTGTTGTGAAACTTTAAAGATGCTGTTCTCGTTCAGTGCTCAGCATGTGCTATTTTTCTACCACTTAGTAGTTGTGTCGGGTAAGAAGTGACATATGCCTGAGCGGGATGATTATACTGATTAGTTCTCCAGCCATTGTCCCAAGAGGGGTGATAGAACGATCTTCATTATCAACCACATTTTTGAATAATTCAAAAAACACCAACTCGACTTCGACATCGTCACATTCACTAGCCTCATCATCTCTATATACTTCGATATCGACCTTCATTTCGACTTCAAGTCAACTATCTTCCGAAGCCACGTTAGCCTCAACAAATTCAAAGAAAGTTGCCATTTTTAGCCCTTCCTTAGCCACAGGCTACACATCAACAGAAACCCCTGCTGTATCTGTCTTGAGTAACACCATCATTGGCTCCAAATCATCGAAAGAGACCTCAAATACAAATAGAACCCCATCATATGATGTATCACTAGATGGAAACTCCAAATATTCCTCGCATTCAAGCACTAAGACCACCCCAAAATCTAAGACTACTTCAAGCACTGTTGGAATAGTTGCGACATCAAAGGATTCTTTAAGTTTTACCATTCACCATAAGTCCTCGTTATCCGCGATCTCCAAAACCAACTCGAAGAGTCTGGCTGGAAATTCAACACTAGAAATGGCCTCATCACATGCCTCTGCAGGAACTTCATCTACAAGCAAAAAAGGCACTATTAAAAAGGTAACATCGACTTCTCACAAAGTCCATGTGACTTCAATGCCAAGCTATTCAATGTTTGGAAACCAAACCATTACAAAGGCATCATGCAAGTCTACAACGCTAGGTAAATCTGCGGAACATTATTGCAGAGTGTGAGTAGTTATCTCTAGCGAAATAGCAAAAGGTTCTGGCGCTAATAATCCAACACAGTATGATAGGCACAGTGCAACTGCATTACTGGCCTACTGATACCGCGGCCATGAATAGGAGTTATCCCTCTACCATATATCTTCAAGACTACGACATCACAATGTAAGTTTCACACGATGACCCAATTTCAGCCATAGCTAATCAAGCAAAATAAGGACATCACCCTCTGTTTACTTTGCCATCAATACAATGAAGGCTACTGATCTATGTGGTAAACAAGTGGGACCTACTATCAAAAACTATGCGGTAGGGTATGACGTGACCGATGTTTATACAATGCAACCGTTTGCAAATACAAAGGTTAAAACGCGGATGGGAGATCCAAAGCAATTACAACTTTCAGACTTGCGAACAGATTGCCCCCAGACTACGATCTTACCCGAAGATATATTTGATTACCTAGAAACAAATCATGTGGTACTAGGAGAAGACAGTCGATGCAATCCAATTTTATCGTGGCCCACTGACTTGAGACTAGCCGCGGGGTAATTTTCAATTTCTAACTCTTTTTGTTGAAATTTTCTGACAATGATTTAGAGAATTCTGGACCACCTGTGGTAGACATTGGGGTGGTAAGTTGGGAATCTTCGATCCCCCCATTCCAGTGACTGCCTGTACTGGTGATGCATCGACATGTCTTTACGGATCAACCAAAATCTCCAGCGCGCCAGCTACTACGACGGAACTGGGAGGACCTACTCCAGCACCTGCCGATCAAATAACTACTATTCCCGCGGTGCCAATTCCGACTATCTCCGCTGGGCCATCAAGTACAGGGAATGAAGGATTCGCAAGCCTTGTAGTATCGGCGAAGTCATTCCTTGCTTCATCATCTAGCACTGCAGCCCTGTCAGAAGATAGGAACAGGATGGGACCGGCAACTGTATTTTTTCCTAAACAGTCGACCTCTACTGCTGTGGCTGTACCTTCTTTCGAGTCAAGTATTGAGATCAGTCCCAATCCAGCAGATCCGTCGTATCCTCCAACAGCCAGTGCATCAATCACTTCAGACACAAAGTCTCATAGCACGTCACCATCACTACCTTCACCAACCGTAATAGCCATAGTAGGAAGTAAACCCTTTTTCGCTGTGCCAGGATCTTCTGGAATCATCTTGCCAAGTGGATTTACGGCTTCGGTCGGAGCAGTGGTAACGATTACAGATGCGTTAAATAATCCCGTGATAATGTCTGAGGACAGTAGCAATATCTTTGTGGGATCGGAATCCTACATCGTTCCAACTGCTTTATCTGTGCTTTCAAATCTGATCAATTTGGCGAACATTGATGTTGTGAATGGGCAAATAATATCGATCGCTACAGGAAGCAGTATCTCGGGTGCTCCAATTGCTACAGTAGCTGGACAAACAATCAGTAGCGGAGGTTCAGCAGCAACACTATATGAAGGAAAAATTGCGAGTCTTGGTGTGGATGGGGTCGTCATTCAAGGCTCTGGCGGATATTGTACTACTATTCCTATCCCTAATCCAACAGCCCCCGTTACCCCCGCAAGTCTTATCGATATAGGCATACTTGGAGGCCACACAATATCAGTAGGAGACATGAAGGGTAACTCAGTCGCCATTGTGGCAGGCCAAACTCTTTCATATGGAGGACCAATCGCTACATTATCCGGTGGAAATATCGTGAGCTTGGGAGTAAATGGTGTGGTAATTCAGGCTCCCAGTGGTAAAGCCACAACTATTCCTATACCCAAGACGGCCTCCGCATCTGCTAGTGACAAAGCTATCAAAACTCTTGAATCTGGGGCTCCCACCACAAGTTCCTCAGCATTGGATGCAGCATCTGCTAGTCGAACTGGGTCGGCCACTTTGGTGCAATCGGATAATTCGGGACAGAGAATTGAGGCGTTGATATGGCTGAGCTGGTTTTTGGTTGGGTGGATTGGGCTTTGTATTCTGAGATGATTGAGTGAAACAAGATGTTATAGTTATATAAATATAGGCGAGAGGTCGAAACTTGGAAATATCTCAGGTGGAAGTAATATTAATATATGTCAAAGAGGAAATTAATATATGTATATCTACAAAGTAATTGCGCAAGGGATGTTCATGATATCAGTTCTGGCCACGTAATACTTTTCCAATGTGGGTAGTTCTGCCAGGAAGTCGTGGAAGTCGAGGAAGTCGAGTCTTGATTACTATCCAGATTACTTCGTCTTTATACTCTCGGAATATGTCCAGCCCAGCTTGGGCGATACACTGAGCCGTATGCACAGATGTGGCATCCACTCGAATTCGCTCTGCTGATTCGGTTCCAATATCTCACCAAATTTGGTATTTGTTGGACCAGAAACCAAGATGGATAGCTGCAAAACAACCCCAGTTTGATGAAAAGGAAAACAGAATGATCAAATGACCAATCGCACAAGGAGATGATCGAACATGGCTAAAGCATAGAAAGCGCCAGGACCCATGCAATCAAAGCTATAACTATTTTATGTGCCTTTCACATGTGGTCGAAGAAAATCGTCTCACCAGGCGGATCCCACAATATTCTCGAAGAAGTAACTTTACTTGAGAAAGTTCTGACCATCTCCTTATCATCAGGTTTATCGAAAGGAAATCTAAACATTAGTAACTGATCAAGACTCTCGGACCCAGCACTGGCTAGCGGCCTCATAGAACAAATGCTTTAGGAACTCCCCCCCACCTTGGTGCGCATGTTTAATACCATAAAAAAAGCCGGACTCTCACGAACCAAACAAAACGGATATAACCTTGCAACGAACCATTACGACAATCAATCTAATGGCTTGAAGAGATATCTTATCGTGAAAAACGATTTTTGGATACTATGACGTTCTTCCACACTGATGATGATTGGAGGGAGTCGGCCAATTTGATCATTACGACTGGAAGAGTATAAGCGAGGGGGTGATAGTTGGGAACTTGAGGTAAGAATCGGACATTCAAAACAACTCCTTTTCACCCCAAAGCAAGAAGAGAGCTAGTATGGAGTTTTCTGTAAAACACTTATTCCTCTACTTATCCATACTTATTCCTTGCTTCCTCAATTCGCTTCCCTGATTAGCCATTATTGACTTTCCAGAATTTGTAGTTTTGAGGGAACAAGGTGCAATGTGCATTGATTTGGCAAGGCATTTTCTCAAGATGAGGTGTATTTCTCAAGGTCTCCTCGATATGATTACGGGTATTGAGATCCTCGTTGACGTAAATGAGCGAGTTGAGATCGTTGCGCATGGCTTTTCATGGAGCAGCTAGTTGAAGGCGCTGATGCACATCTTCTTCGATGGATATTCCATGATTGGTCCGACGAGTATAGTGCTCCGATTCTTGAAAATCTGATCCATGCCGTTAAGCACAGGGCCAGACTTGTGGTAGGAGAAGTTTGCTTACCGAAACCTGGGAATAATATCTCATGCTGGAACGAAAGGCGAATGAGGTGTGTTTGGTTCCTAAGATCCGACTTCACAATGAAATCAATGGGGAAGAGCGGGGTCAGTTTGCGAAAGCCGATTCGGGGTTTACATTTCAAGGCGTAGCAGCATTTCAAGCTTCAAGGTCCTCATTGAGGCGATCTAGGAAGGTGATTCTGCTGCTAGGTTGTGAACAACGTGAAGTGAAGCTTTCCCCGTAACTTATTACAGTATAACCACTCTATTATTGTTGCGGATTTCAATCCCAATTTAGCAATCCAGACAACTATTGTTGGCCCTGAATCGATTGTGAAGGAAGGAGTTTTGAAAGTCATGTTGGAATTTCTAGGTGATAGGGTCCATGAATCATGTAGGGATCTTGAGCTCCTGGCAAAGAAACTGCCAAAAAATAAGTTCCTACAACTGTCCTATTCACCTGTGAAAGGCAGCTACCATACAGTTGCTTGCTGGGAGTGGAGGCGGTTCGGCCACCGTATCCACAACCTCATAGTCGAAGGCTCAAGTGAGCCAACAAGTCTGTATCATCATTTTCCTCTTCCGTTCTTAACTCTCCAACCTTCTTCCAAAATTTACTCAAATGCCTCGTTCCGCTATCACAGAGAATAGTGACCACCGTACTTCCCTTCTCTAATTCCAACGCTGCCACTACAGCTGCCACGCAATTGACCGCACTGCTACTCCCCACAAAAATACCATCCTTCTCGACCAACCACTTCGCCATCTTAAGTGCTTGCAAATCCGTCACCTTGACAGCATCGTCGATGAGTTCTCGTCCAGCTTCAAAGTTCTCTGTCAAGCGGTTGATTCCAATACCTTCGACGATAGTGTCGACTTGCTGGCGACGTCTCGTACCTTCTTTCTCGGTTGACGAGAACATCACGCCGTGTTTGATTTTATTGTACAAACCACTTCCCTCTGGATCAGCAAGTACGACTTTTAAGTCTTGCCCCATGAGTTGCTCTTGTTTCAAGTAGAGTGCTACTCCTGAGATGGTCCCCCCTGTCCCGGCGCCGGCCACAAATGCATCGATCTAAATGTCATCAGCTAAAAGGTATATAAATTCCTGGAAATTTAATCGCTCACATCTCCTCCTGTCTGGGCATAAATCTCAGGCCCTGTAGACTGAAAATGTGCCCGGTAATTTGCACCGGACTCGAATTGGTCTGCAAAGAAACCTCTGCTGGAATCCGTTGCGGAAGCTGTGTGTTCCATTGCTCTTCTTCTTGCCAGGTTGACAAAATGCTCTGTAGAAGTGATGGGCGCAGGCGTGACTCTTTCAACTGTGGCACCCAAATGATGAAGAAGATCCGACTTCTCTGTACTTTGATCATTAGGCATACAAATATATGCTTTATAGCCTCTAGCACGTGCCAGAACTGCAAGTGAAATGCCAGTTGATCCAACAGTGCCTTCGTAAATAGTATCACCTCGGCCGGCTTTCAAGAATCCTTCCTCTTCTGCCATCATGATCATATTCAGCGCGACTCTATCTTTAGGACTTCCTCCCCCTCCATTCAAAAATTCGGCTTTCGCAAGGATGGTACATCCTGTGGCATCGGAAAGACTCTTGATCTTGAACAACGGTGTATTCCCAATACATCCTTCTATTCCTTCTGGAATTAGAGGTTTCGGTGATCCAACGATTGATTTCCGAGTACGGTCTTCTAGCTTTAGTGGACGAAGATTAGACCCCACCGGTCTTATATCAGAAGATGAAGAATCAGATGCAATAGTCCCAGTTGCATTTCGTCGTCTTTGGTATCTTCGTTCCAAATCTGGATATAAATCCTTGAAACCCAATGTCAACATAACTCCTGCGACGAATGCAACTGCAACCGCCGCAGTTCCATATGCCTTTGGGTGATTGCTCATAGACATCTTGTCATCGTATTTTCATCATCATTTCAATCATAAATCTTAAGTTTCATCTTCTCATTGATGTTCATGATTTTTATAGGTCGATGACTCTCAAATATATCCTTGCAAAAGTTTGCGGAAGAAGCAAGAAGCTTGGACCATCCAGAACTCAACAATGCGATCGATGAGTTCCCCAAGAAATGCGCAAGAATAATGTAAACTAAACACTTGTCCATGGACTCTCCAATCGTGGCACAACTGTTTCGACAGCTATTCCGACATAAAAATTGTCAGGTTTTTCCATCTCGTTCTTCGATATCTGCTCGAACCTGGAATGGGCAGGGTACTCAGTTGAGATGTTCGTCGAGCACGAGTAGGAGGGGCAGAGGAGTGAGGGAGACAAGTACAAATGAAAGCCATTGGCAGCAGAGAACGGATTTATTTCCGGTTGATATGATGGATGAATTCAACAAATATCCGATGGTTACAGCAGATCAGTTGAGAGGGAGGAGAGAGAGACCTAGGCGTGTAAAGATGCTCACGCGCGATTTCATCGAAGGTATTCATATACCATTTCTCACCATATAGCAGACCTTCCTGACATGCTCCGCCCGCAGATAGTTTATACAATCCTTCTTATGGCTACTTCTCCAAACAAGTCGTAATCTTTACCCCTGGCGAACCCTTTGACTTCAACTCCCTCGAAGACGAGCCCGCCTTCCACCGTCTTCTAGGCCAACGGTACACCGAGTTTGAGGACGAGTTGGATCTGAAATCTCCCAATGAGACCCGTCAGCTATGGCACACGCCGACAGAGCTCTTCCGACCTTACTATGGTGAAGCTATAGCCCGGTATTTGGTCAACAACTACAAGATATCGCAATACCCCTACCACGACCTCATCATCTACGAAATGGGTGCTGGAAACGGAACTCTTATGCTCAACATCCTCGATTACATCCGCGCCACAGAACCTGAAGTCTATGCCCGCACAAAATTCAAAATTATTGAGATATCGAGCAATCTCGCAGAACTACAAAAATCACACCTCTTACGGAACGCAGATTCTCGAGGACATTTCTCCAAGGTTGAAATCATCAACAAATCGGTTTTTGATTGGAATCAGATAGTACCCTCACCATGTTTCTTCCTCGCCATGGAAGTATTCGATAACTTTGCCCACGACTCCATTCGATACGATCCCATCTCCGAAGAACCACTTCAGGGCACCGTCTTAATATCCAGTACCGGCGAATTCTACGAATTCTACACTCCTACGATCGATCCAATCGCATCTCGATTCCTTCGCGTACGCCACGCTGCTACAAATGGAAAATATCCGCATCCACTTCCTCAGAATAAATTAATAAAGACATTGCAGAACAGCATGCCATTCGCTCCGAATCTTAGTCAGCCAGAATATATACCCACGAGACTCATGCAGTTCTTCGATATTCTGGCAAAGTATTTCCCGGCGCACAGATTGGTAACGAGTGATTTTCATGCGTTGCCTGATACAATCAAGGGAGTCAATGCACCGGTTGTGCAGACGAGATATAAAAGGAGAACTGTTCCAGTTACAACGCCTTTTGTGAGAATGACCATTCATTTACCCTTCATCGCTTTCTGAGCTAATAAGATACAGGTACATCAAGGATATTTTGACATATTGTTCCCCACTGATTTCGCTGTGATGGATAATGTGTATAGAGCCATCACAGGGAAATTCACACAAGTGTTGTCACATGAAGAATTTCTGAACCGATGGGCTTATGTTGAACAGACGGAGACCAAGAATGGGGAGAATCCTCTTTTGACGTGGTATAAGAATGCCAGTGTTCTTACCACGGTATGAGAAATAAAATACTAAGGACTGTGCATATCATCAAATTTCCTGTCAGCGCATAATATCTGATAATCGTTGATTTGTCTAATTATAATATGTGACAACTAATCTCCTCTAGTTGATCACTGTACAAGTGTCCGTGTTCGGGGAGGAAAGAAGAAGCTATGTGCCCGCCAAGTTCAAAATGAGGTTGCTCGGGAATAGGAGTGTTGCCGCGCCAATGTCGAAGTTTGGAGCAGCTAGGTATAATATATTGATGAAAATAATCTAATAACCCCTGTTCAATTCGTTTTGTTGCACATCCGAACATGCTTGATCTCCACTGATACTTATAGAAGAACTCCATTTCTCTTTTCAATTTTCTCGTCTGCTCCAAGAATTCTGCCTGTTCACGACATTTCAGCTCAACCACCAAGGGTGGAAACCCTTCTGCGATCGTCTTTCACAATTCCTCCATCAGATCCTCATGGATAGTGTGAAGTGCAATGATAGTACCCAAGAACTTGAAATCTTGCTCCCCAAAACCACCCATATTCAATCTGATTGTTGCGAATTTCTCAAGTTCAGCCAGGCATTGAGAATCGCCGATTTTCTCAAGCACTACTTGTAGTTGGGTGTGCTGCGCTGCCTCATGCTCGATGACGCACAGTCAATATTCAGGTTTTGTGACATTTCCAGTGTAATCTCGGCGATAGCATTTTTCAGTTGAGTAGCATTTTCGGCAGTGATAGAAGTCTGTTCTAGGCGTTCACCTTGTTGTATAAGGTCTAAAATTCGATTGATTCTTTCGGTGACAGTATTGAGTTGAGACTGTTGTTGTCTGATCCAACCTTCGACTTGGGGATACAGAGATTCGAACATTCGGGAAATATGTTCGTGCTTGATCTCGGGCTCTTGAACGTTGGAACGGAGAGGTTCGATAGTGTCACTAGGAATATCTTCGCATTTGTTCTCGGCCATATGAGGTCGAGGGTTTTCGCAAATACCTAGTGGGAGCCGCCCAGCGCTAAACATTGCTGCCGAAGGCCTATTGGTCAGAAAAGTTAGGGTTAGCAATCTTCTTCATGACTTGACTTGGAGAGAAGATATTGGGGTACATTGCTTTGTCGATGCTCATGATTTCATGAGTTCCAGAGAATCCTGATCTGCTACGATCAGATTGAGGTGACGGTGGTGGTGCTACTCCACTAGCATTACTTTCAGCATCAGTTAAAACATCGTTGGCAAAAACGCAAGGTGGGAGTGAACTTACGTCCGAGACGGCTCTAATTGCTCAAATATTTTTCCAAGCCTGGGTGTATCCGAGACTCTTGCTTTGACTTTCTCTGACTCAAATCTCTCTCTATATGACAATCAGCTTGATAGATGCTGTCAATCTTTAATTGTACCCACGTTTCCACAAAGGTAACCCCTCGATTCCTGTTTTTATGTTCTGGTTTCAAAGGAATCGATCCGAGGCCTCGACCGTTGCGATGTCGTTTCGCTGGCGATACTTGCTCTTTCTTGCTATTTGGCTTTCTGTTCAACAGCATAAGCGACGACGTCACATCAAATAAATGTTCAAATTTCAATTGGATAATTACCGGATCGATGTGGTGGAATCCGAGCTCCTCTCGACTTCGTGATGGCTGCGTTTGCGAGGACTTTGGGAGGAGGATATTTCTACGGTGTGGTCTTCGACACTGTTATGTCGAAAAACTTTCTTAGTTCATCTCATCACAACAGGCGACAATGGATATTCTGGCAAAGTATTGCTACTCACTCCGAATCTTGCAAGACTTCTCGCACGGTGATGATAGGCTCTTTGTTCCTCACCGCAAGGGCTGAGTTCCACTCCAAAGTGTCCATTTTGCTACCAATACTTGAATACTGGTTGAATACTGAAGAATTGATCAAGTAATCAAATGTTATAGTTACCAAAAGATAAGGAAAACAATAGAATAGCTTTGTTGACGAAAAGAAGAGAAGTCTCAGTAAATGGAAACAGGAATCACGGACGTTAATGGTGAACGTGTCTCGATATAGAAAGTGGTTGGGGATAACTCGTTCCTACCTTTTTCAAAATTTTACACTATAATCAAACTTCAGCGACTACTTTCCTATCACAGTTAATAAGTAATTGCTATTTCAATGCTTCACTGGTGTCTGTAAATCAAAAGGAGGGATGTAGCGCCAAATGGGTTTTCGCGAAAGCTCTACCTAGAGCTTATTCCTAGATACGATTAAAAACTCCAAAGAGCACAAAGATTGATATTGATTTACGTTTTAGTACGAGTAATGGCTATAGTTGAGAAAGCGTTTGTACTAGTCTAAGTTCGAAAAGTACTGGCTGCCACTGGCAACCCCTACTTGCCAGATAGGGTGCCGTTTTGGGGGCTCATCCAAACGCCAATGTATTTGGATTTCTTTCAATTCCACACAATTTTGATCGTTACGAATTACTGCTGTATTTGAAGTTTAAGTGGCGTTCGCTTACTAATAAAGCATTTCTATCATGGATAGCTTGAAAAGGCCTTTAGCCTCCACAGCAATTTAATAATCAACCATCTAACTTTACAACAACTCTACATAACCTTTTCCATCTTATATCTGTGCATCATACGAATTTCCATTCTCGAAGCCTACGAAGTCAGACTCTGACGCCTCGGCACTCATGGTCTGAACCGTGTTGAGGATGTATTCTCGATGGTTTCTGCTAACAGCAGCTGTTGCTACTCGGAAGGGCACTATATTAGTGCAGCGGACTAGCTGCATAGAGAGGCCTTCAAGGTCGTATTACGTCAGCTTGCCGTTATGGACGACCCTAGCAAACGAACCGGCTGATTCTGCACGATCCGGGCAAAGAGATCATGTATGAACGAATCGTCCCTCTCTGGAGGAAGCAAGCCTCGACGAAAATATGGATTTCCTATTGGAGTGTTCAAGAATAGTCGGGTTCAAGGATTTTGATTCGGTGGTATTGAACTAATCTACTGCGGATTTCAGAGAATCATCATCGGCAGAAAATGTCAAGAGACTGAGCATTTAAATCTCAACAACACCACCTTCAATTGACAGAATAGGATCCTTTTGAATAGTGACGGGATGAAAGATATCATCGAGAAGATTACCCATGGCCTATGCCCAGAAACGGTGATATGATGAAAATAAACTTAGAAATAAGCCAGACAGAGTTCTGTAAGCCCCTCCCTAACACCGTACCATTCCCTTTATCCTGTTCTCTCGATCTGTATCCTCTCAATTACTCTCTCGTATCTGATCCATCAGAGCACCCTCAGGCTCAAATGAGATGGGAGTCATGAAACTAGGCTTCACTTTCTAGGTTAGTCTGAGATGTTGACGGTATATATGAGATAGGAATAGATTGCATTATGCCAGTAAAGACTCGAGGCTCGAGCATTGATAGCTTAAATTGGGCGACTGACCTTAGCGTCTATAGATAACTTGGAAATCCATCTTTTTGTCAGATAAGACTAGTCTTTACTTCCACTAACAGCATCTTTTCTCTCGAACATATGCACTGTACCAGGAAAAAGATTGCCATTAACAGACGAGCCATTCTCCACAGAAGTAGCAGTCTAGCGTTAGGTAGACCCTAAATCCGGCCTATTCGCTAGCTTCTGTAAATCAAGACCAGTATCAGTACATATTCCAAGTTCTCTACGCTTTTTCTGACGGTGATGGAATTCCGACAACGCATTCGACTCTAAGTCCGATAAACCAGTAGTTTTCGCGCCGGCCACTAGAAGCGTTGCTATTATACAATCATGCTCCCACATTGAATTCAGAAATTTCGGCGATATGTTGTCGTTATCATTGATCCTTTGTATGTTTAGATCAGAATCTGCTAACAGAAGCGCTTGAGATATGGGATTGCAACCGCCCAATTTCGACCCATTGACATCAACCCCGTGCTCAATTAAAGCCCTCACCATGGTCGGTTGTCTGCAACAGACAGCCCACGTTAGTGGTGTCTCATGGTCATATAGTAAGCCGTCGGGGTTTAATCCAAGACTGATCAGGTATGCTAGGGCACGCTCATCGCAGTGAGCGATGACTAGCTGGAAAAATGGGTATCCGAAATAAGCAACCCATTCCCTGTATAGGATAGCTTCACCGAAATCTCCGAAATCAGTGTCCGTAGCATCGTCAAGAGCCTCTTGATAAAGGTCTTGTTCCCCGGCACCATATTTAATCAGCAACCTTACCAGATCAAATCTGTGCATCCCAATTGCAGTCAGTAAAGGGGCATGAAGATCTTCCAACTTTCGGTCTTCTAGAATCATTTGTACAGCCTTTGTATGTTCCAGTCTAATAGCTTGACATAATGCTTGTCTACATTGGATATCAGAAGGGCCTTGACTTTCCAAAGCGCGTCGGACCATAAATTCGATACCTGAATTCACGGCAATTGCCAAAGGATAGAAACAGTCCAACTCTTCTACTATATATCGAGCGTTGGACCTTTTGGATTTGCATCCAGAATCTGAAATGAAGATGATTAATGTCACATAGCTTATAAATAGCCATGTACAAGGCCGTATTCTCGACAACGTTCGTTTGTTGTATATGCAATCCCCAGTTTTGTGAAGCATATATAGCCAATGAGTGTTTTTGTGTGGCACCTGTAAAGCAAAGAGTAAGTTGTTTTCCACAATCAGTTTCTCTCAACACATTCCATTGCTTCAGCTTGAAAAATGGAGGTTCTTGCTCATAATCGCGGAAAAGAAGATAGTTGACACAGATTTTGCCCAGTAACAGATGGGCAGCCGACCGATGCACAGAGCCTTTCCATTTAAATTCAAAATTATCAATCATGTCTTGTGGTGTTTCGTGATTCGACAATAAAAATGAGCGAGCCGTCTGGTGAATAAGATATACTTTCGAGTCCACGACTGTGACAAATAGCCCACAAATGTTTCCCAGAGTCGCCCGAAAATTAGCTTCAGACTCAATATCAAGACTGGATAGTGAATTTTGAGTTGGCTCTTCGTCTACAGCGAGAGCCACATTCATTTCCTGTACATGCAAAGGCCTTTCTGCCGCAACGACAATGCTCAAGAGCTTCTTAGCTCGTCCCAATTCACCCTTTGGAATTCGGTTCAATATAGCTTCGTATGCCTGATCCACTTGTTTGTGGAAGTTCTTTAATAACATGAGACAAATGCCTCTCAGTTGTTTTGAGTTGCTGCCGCAATAATTCGAGGATTAACCTCAGCCATAGATATGTCCGGTGTTCCATGTCCAACAATTGCCGTTTCAGAGCAGAGGCTGTTGTGCCATCCAGTCCTAACTAATTTCTGAGACGTTTAACCTCTTCTTCGATTACAAGATCAATTTCTTTGCTGATTTTCGCTGACTCCTCATCACCCGATAGTCGGATGGTAGGGAATTTTCCTGTCAAAGCCTTAAATCTCCTCTCAATACCAGTATAAGGTCGGCTTGTGACAAGAATTTTAAGATGGAGACTTATAGAATTTGAATTCTCGATGCAGTCGCGATGAAATTCTCGCAAAGTATCAATAAGCATGTAACGACTTGTGTCTTCGCACTCATCAAGTGCATCCAAATGCAGATGATTTCCCCCGCTGATGGATCTTGCGCAATATTTTTCAATATGTCCCACATCCTGGTGAATGACTGGCGAATGTCTGTGTCAGTTGTCTTGTAAGAAGGAATAACATGTCTTACGAGCTTTGAATTCCCAGGTGCGGTCAAAATCTGATGCAGTATAGCGCATAGCGCATTTTCTACCGTTCGTTGCGAATCATCATCTTCCTTAAAGAAATAGCAAACGGTTCTCGACTTTGCCGGCTGCGGACGCTTCTCGGATAACATCTTGATTAGCATCCTTGACACTACTGATTTGCCACAACCGGGGCCAGCAGAAACCCACAACAGAGAAGACGACTCTGAATCTTTCCAGTGTGCGAAGTTAGGGTGATCAATTAGCCAATGGCAGGTTCCCTTGATAGCATCCGAATTTCGGTTCATCTGCTTCTCGTATGCGGATACATAAAAGTTTTGTATGCAGCGATTCTCTCCTTCGATCTGATGTTACAATGTCTGTAGATCTTGATCGTGGTTGAATTTATCAATAGTCTCATTTGCCTCGCGTTGAAATGAAATGCTTGTCAACAAGTGAGTCTATATCATATCTTGTAGTCCCTGCATGGTTTTATCAAGATTCTGTAACTCTCTTTTGAGTTTCTCTGAGTCCAAGATTACCCTGGAGCTATCGCATGCAGCCTCGTGTTCTTTAGGTTCGGTCAACAAGCCATCCCAATTATCCAACCTGATCATATCTCTTGCCACACGAGTCGCTTTAGTGGAATTTAGTTGATATGACGCACGACATTGATACTGCAATATTTTTGCGTAGAAGTTCGTAAGGTCTTCTTCAAACTTTGAGAAGAGTTTTGCAGTATCCCTGGTAGCAGTCGCCAAGGGAAAATAGGCAATTTGTTCCTGATACATGCGCTCGATGACGGAAACTTGACAAAGGATTCTGGAGATATAGTCAACGCCCTTAACAAGATCCTTCGGTTGCTCGGAAGCATTTATTAGAAGCTGTTTTACGGTGTTAAATAAGCCCGCGAATTGATACTGATAGAGAAATAGGGAGAGACCTACAGGTAAGAACAAGCTCACTCCAGCCCAAGCCAGAGCGGCATGAGGCTCTCCTGACACCACTGTCCCAATGAAGGACTGGGCATACTGCGCTGCTTTGACGATATTGTTGAGAGCTGTCTTCACTTCCACGGTGGTATTACCCACCCGAACCTTCCAATGCTGTTCATCAATCAGCTTAAGATTCCGATCAATGATTTTCGATAGGTAATTCGGTGCTTCTTTGCCATTGGAATACGCTGTTCCCGACTCTTCTCGCAAGACTTGTCTAGCAGTTTTCGGTTTTTCTCATCATCATGTAAAATCTGATATGCATCGCGCCAGAAGTTCTTTCGAGATTCATCATCTCGCACAGGCTTGGATTCAAATCCTGATAGAACTGGTAGCTCAGCCGAAGATAATGTAGATGGCTCTAGTACAGCATTTGAGTCTCGTTCGACTGTTGAAATAACAGATAATGCAGTCAATGACAACATGGCCGATGGTTTTTGCACAGGCTTTGATTCAATTCCCGATATAATTGGTCGTGCACTTGATGACAAAACATCCCCCATAACACCAGCCTTCCAACCAGCCCATTTCGATTGAGCCCATTTCGATTGATGTTCCCAATCGCTCCTACCAGTCTTGTCCCTGTGAACGTGTCGTCGAATCCAAGACCGCATAGTGTATTGATTATTGTGTCAACCAAGCAGCTGTTCCAAGTAACAAATTTTGAACTCTCAGAACAAAAACAATGAAAAGCTTCCTCCAGAATATCCCTCAATTATACCATTCAAAATAACAAACTGGCAGTTGCCCACCGTGACGTGTCTCCACCTGCAGAGAAAAGAAACACAACATAAGACTGCCCTGAAATGAGGGTTGGCATATCCTATGAAGCAGCATACTGTGTATGACAAAGTGTAAGGAAGCGTGCCACATTCCACCAAGCCTCGAACGATTTCATTTCAATAGAGGCAAACTTTCCAATTTGGAGTCCCCACAAACTGTGAGATAACCGTTGGAGCCTCGCATTGCATAGAAGTAAAAAGTAATCCAGTTTTCATCCCTCACACCCCGTCCTTGATGACAAGGAATCGCGCCAAATACCCATTGGAGTTTATCCGACGTCTCAATCCCTTCATACCCCCCAAAACACAAGCCGTCGATATGAGATGGATGATCTATAAACTAGAACAATTATCTGATTGAGGAACAACGGGAACCGACATCTGTAACTCTGTGAGTCGTGAGAAATCAACCACTCTTCCCAAAATATGTGGATACTGGTAGGACCCCTTTTACGGAGACATATTACCAGTACTTCTTACCATCCCAGATATTATACCACGAGAATTATTAGCCGTCCAATCGTATTTTAAAGTTCTTTTAGTTCGCTACCCTAGTATAAAAAGAATTTTGTTTCTAGAAACCCTCTTATATATAATCTCAAAATTCAGCCTCTCTCATCGATTAACGTTTTTACGGTTTAGCATCATATTACGGTAATATATGGTTATATACTAAATATTTGTGAAATTTCTTAAGCGATTAATTGGACCAATCATAGTGTGGTAAAGGTTAATCTCCTATGGTGAATAATCGCGCTACTAGTTTATCTAAGATTTTATGATTATATAATCGCCGTGGGTCTGAGGATGAGATAAAACTTATATGAGTTACTCGAACTACGCTTCCAACCACGTGATTTTTTGAACTTCTATATCTTTCAATTGAACAATAGAGCTTGTTTGGTATTTATTTAGTTATAAACAAATCATAACCTGATTAACCAAAAAGTAGATTTGCAAATTTGTAATTTATAACAAAATCATATTAATCGTACAAATTCATTTAATAGTTCACGGAAGAATATCTGTTTCGTATCTAGATTTTCGAAAGTGATTCTCGCTTCCCAATCTCCAAACTCCAAACATACATATATCCACCACAGCATCCAAGCTAATAAATGACACCTCGCATTCATTTCACCACATCCCCTTCTTCTCCTGTTTCCCTTCCCATCCCATCCACCATCCACCATCCACCATCCACATCCTCGAGTTTATTTAAACATCTCAAATATCTCGCACATCTTCACAGCTCGTACATCTTGCACACCACAAGCATCACAAATATCACATCAGAAGCCTCAATATCACAGATATAACATTTAAATAGCTTCCATCACATTACATCCCCGCACCCAATCTCTCCCTCTCCCTCTCCCTATCAAAAATACCACAAATCATTCATTCATCCATCCATCCCACTTTCCGTAAACCCCGCTCCCTCTTCCTCCTCCTCCCTTCCTCCCTTCATCTCTTCCTCCCTCCTCCTCCCTCCTCTTTCCTCCCAACCAAACCCCAAAACCAACCCCAAACCCCAAACCCAAAACCTATACAAAAACCTACAAACCTACAAACCCTACCCAGCGCCCATATATCCATCTACCTACCATCTTCTCATCTTCCCATCTCCCCAACCTTTCCGTATTCAGTGTACTCGTATATCATTATCATAAGTGTTCCCTATCTATCTGTCTCCTATCTCATGATTTTTTCCCATCCATTTGAGCCACTTCCATCCATTACATGCACCCGTTTATCCATTCATGAAATGCTACCATGCCATACCATGCTGCTTGCTATGCTGCTATGCCAAAATCATCCAAACCATAACCAGCCAAGATTTTATGTTCCACAACCCCAACCCTAACCCTAACCCCAATTCAAATCACCAACTCATAGTTTTCTCCACCGTGAATCCGTGATATGACCTACCATCCAAACACATGCTAAATATTCATTTTCAATTGATTTCATTTCCATAAAACATAAAACATTATCTTTCTCCGCTCTCCCACCCCCACCCCCACACCCCAATCCTCTCCCCCATTCCTAATGCATCCTCTCCTTCAAAACCACCACCGCCGCCCATCCCTGGCAACACCTCGTAGACATTCCATGTCCACACCAAGGACAACTAACCCTCGTACTAACCACCCCACTAACCCCTAAGCCCTCATCTTTAACCACCGCTTCAGGCTTAGCCATACACTCATACAATTTACTCGGCAAATCATGGAAATAGTTGCATCCACAACAGATAACAAACATTTTCGCCATGGGTTCCATGCCGCCTTGCCCATTGCTGTGAAGACTCTGAGCCGAGGTTGCTGCGGAATGCTGATGCGCGGAAGAGCGAAGACCATTTTTCGGTGGAATGGCAAGACGGGCCGAACGAAGGTATTGGCTACTACCGGTGTTGAGGTCTTTTTCCGACGAGCTGGAATTTCCATTCGAATTGGAACTTTCACCTCCGTTAGGAACAGGCGACGACATGATTGAGTTTTTGGAATTGTTGTACTGTGCATACGCAGATGCAGATGTAGATTCTCGTCTTCCCTTTTCTAAATTGCCGTTTCCATTTCCAGACACATTGTTTCCCTCACTGGTTTGTCGTTTACTTTGACCCTGACGTGGACGTAACGGTTGGTGCTTGAGCTCTGGTAGGAAATTCAAAGAATTTTGCAGGGCAGTGGTTGAAGAAGATTTACTCAGACTGAGTCTCCGTTGAAGATCTGCAACTCCCGCTTCTGTATTGGGATCCGCAGAAGCTAAAGAGGAATGCAATTTTCTAGACTGGGCTGTGGGAGCGCCTTGACCACTTGAAGGAATTGTATTGCCATCTTCGTCCTTCAGCCTAATTGGAAGGGGGGTCTGGTTCCAAGGATCCTGGACTTTGTGATTTTGTCGAGATGCGGTATCATGACCAGTTACAACAGGACCCTTGTGCGATTGTGGTCTGGAAGCAGCCGGAGTTGTGATAGTGGATTGTTCATCAAAGCTTAGATATTCTTCACTTGACCCAGTGAAGGATCTAGAACTAGATCTTCGATCCTTCTTTTGTCGACGAGGAGTTGAGGTTGCATTGCCCATCTGCGGAGGCAGTTTTTCCTTTGGTGTCGCCTTGATTTTTGGAGATGACAACGTCGTCGGAGATAAATATTCTGGTTCTGATATTCTCCGACCAGATTGACTTGGCAGTGCAGACCTGCTATCAAAGCCATTGGTACGTGGCGAAAGAGCGGATTTTGGACGTAACTTCTTGAGGGGTTCGTCCAGACTAGACGTTTGTAGAGAAGGCGAGTTTGTCAGATATAAAGGCTTAGGGTATAGATTCGATGTAGCATCATTAATACCTTTGAAGGTGGGCGATAATGGACTCGGGCTGTAAGATGGCATTTGTAGATCTCGTCTAGAAAACATACCCTCCTCTGCTTGGATACTGCTGTGAGATGATTGCGCAGTGAGCCTAAAACTTGGAGGTGCATATTCGCCATCTAGAAATGTACGAAAGTCTTCTCCGTTCTCCGATATTTCCATATTGATCTGAGGCGAGTTTCCTATAGATCCATGAGCCGACTTGACGCGACTATGCCCATTATGTATTGAGGGTGTTCGTCTCATGATTTCCTTTTTAGGAGCGGCGTCCAATTTGATTTCGTGTGATGAGCTCCTTAGATCTCGTTCTTTGCCGTGTCGTTTTTGCTTAGGAAAATAATCGTTATTTTCGGGGTTGATACTTTCAGGAGAAGTGTCAAAATTCTTGAAATACAAAGGCTCCTGTTTTTTTTCATTATATGACTGAGTATCTTCCAAGCCGAATCTGAATCCCGGAGATGAGGCAATGGCATGCGGCGAAGGCTTGGCCTTGGTATTCACTGTTGACTCGGTAATATGATGTGATTTGATATCCTCGCTGGGCTTTCGGGCTCGAACGTTTCTACTCATGATTGGTTCTTGATCGCTCGAGGACTTTTGACTAGCTTCCGGTTGAGGCAGAGTATGGAGACTATTTGAGTCCTCACTTTGAGAATTTGTTGGTAGTTCAACAGCGGGTGCGCTGGATCCAGAAGAACTCAACAGGTCTAATGTGCGATATCGAGAGTTTTCAAGTGAGATGGGTGGTCGACTCTGACTGGGTTTGTTACTGTTACCAACGGTTCTATTGTTTGACGATTTTCCGTCCCGAGATTCGTCTTGGACTGGATTTTCATTAGATTGCTGTAATTTTAGACCTCCCATGAATCCTGACAAAGTTGGAGAACTGGGGATGGATTGGGTTCGTGGGGTTGCAGATGCGCTTGAAGATCTGGATCTGAAAGAAGACATAAGCTTCTTGAGTCCAAGATCCAAACTAGTTCGTCTTGATCGCCTACCATCATCGGGGTCAGGACTCGGTTGTGTTATTTCTGGGGTAACTTGGACTGAAGGCTCAGTGTTGGCTCGGCTCATGGGAATTGCGGGAATGGTCTTGCTTGGACGCTTGTTGGTGGGAGGCGCCTTGCTCAATCGACCTTTTTGTTTTTGTACCGCGGCTCGGGTCTCCTTTTCGACCTTTTCTTTCTCTTTCCTTAACCGCTCCTCTTCCTTCTTGCGCAGATCCTGAGCTTCTCTCTTTGCCATTCTTTTTTGCTTGCCTTCACCACCATCCCAAGCAGGCGACCGACATATTGAGGATGCATCAGAATCGTCTGCATGTGCGCCGACTTCCGACTTCTTTTTGGTCGGCTCAACTACAACTACATTCTTAAATATTTTGGGTTTTGCCTTGGGTTTTTCGGGGGTTTGCGTCGGTGGTATCGCAACAGATAAAGTTGGAATAGTCATTGCTCGTGTCGTTTGTCTGGATGGAATAGGATTTTCGGGAGCAGGAATGGTATATACATTAGGATTGCTCGGACGCCTTTCGCGAAAGAAGCTATTACGCAGTGGTTGACTGACTGGTGTCGAGGCTTGCATGCGTTGCAGCTAGTTTATGTATGTTAGCCAATATTACTTGACCATGTCAGCTATTTGTTTGCGCACCTTGGTCCTCTTCTCCAAGTCGAGCATACGTTGAAGTGTGTTTCTCCGTACTGGTTCCGAACGGCCATGTTTCTCTTTCTCCTTGGAGCTCATTTCGAGAGTCCGTGAATTAAAATATGATAGATGATCAATTAAAGTGCAGGGTTATTGAAGTGCTTGACGCATTTGAGCTACCGGCACAGCTCTCAGAGTCACTCGAAGCCTTGAAATAGTGAATATTGGTATCAGTTACAAGACGGTGATTCGGGATTATCTGGTGAGCAAAGAACTAGAAGGGTAATTGATATAAAGCCAGAGCAACGAGATCACTGAAGCATTTTCTTCTTCTCAACAATATTAATCGTAAAAGAGAATGTGCGAAAGAGAAGAAGATGATCAAAATTAGGATAATATCAAAAAACGAAAGTCTAATGCTGATGCGATAGTAGTAAAGTAAAGTAAAGTAAAGAAAATGATGTTATGTTATGTGATATGATATGATATGATATGATCTGATCAAGAACACTCAAGAACACTCAACTAGCCAGAACATGAAGAAACAAATGTACCAAATACCTGTTAAAGTAATACTTTGCAGATTCTCTGGAGGGGTTGCCCCGGATTGACGGATCGTAACAGGCTTCTTTTCCATTTCTCTCATTTTCTCACTCTCCACCTTGGTAACAAATAACAAGTAACAGGTAACAGATGAGTGAAAGAAGCTCAAAGTTTTAAGAAACCTTGTCTTGATCAATAGTTTTTCGCTCGTGTTATGTCTTGGCGCAGTTGCTGAAATCGATATTGGCTGCACGTATGATTTTCGTTGTCACAGAAGTTTCGATTTTTGATTAAACATTGAACAAGCGCCAAACAAGGACTGAGATATATATGATGTGTCGGCGAGGTTTAGGTTTATAGCCTTATCAGTGGAGATTTGGTAAGCTTTGATATTTACACCTTATTCCTCCTATTTAACTAGGTAGTATTTTAGCTATATATACTCGTATTTGCAGAATATTGACATTGTTCATCTATATACCTATATACAAGGGTTCAGCAATCCCAACCCTGGAATTGCTGAACCCCCACCACCGCCCGCTCCAGAAACCTTTCTATTCCTCTTTTTCACCCTCCATCGGAGTCCCATCCAAGTATCAGAAATCTAGACACAACCCAAAAACCCCCACTTACAAAATGATCGACACCAGCATCCAGGTAGATAGGAGGTAGGTACAAGTACCTATTAATATAAAAACAGCTCGGAAGCACAGACGAGCATAACACCTAACCCAGCTGAAATAAATCATATACCTAGGTACAAGTAGGAGTACAACATCTATATTATATTATGTTATATGTACCCATACCCATTCAATCATTCATTCTCATTCATTCTCCTTTTCCCCCTTCACAATCTACAAAGTATTTCACAACAACCCCAAACTCCAAATGTCCAACCCCCAAACCAAAAATTACCAATACAATACCAATACCAATACTATACACAACCTAACCTTGGCATAAACAACACGAGTACCGTAAAACATTTCAAACAGTACTCACAAATACTGTACCTACAACACCCAGCCACCTCGTGACCCGCCCACGGCCCGTTCCGAACACATACTATACGACGGGGGTAGGTAACTTTTCAAATTCTCAGCCGAGGCATATCCGAGTTTCCCCGCTCACTTGTCACGACTTATCAGTTATTCCGCTCAGAGCAGAGCAGAGAATCGATTACAGTATGCACTGTAGTTTATGCTAAGATTTTTCATATATCAAACATTGATGGATACATATATTTTGGATTCCGAGTTCCAAGTCTCGGTTTTGAGTTATTTTGAGTTGACAATATGATTTTGTACAGGGAAAGGAAAGAAAAGGAAAGGAAAGGGAAATATAGGAAGGAAGGAAGGTATGGATTACAATCAGGCTTTTGTTATTGTTAAGTAGAATCTAATGTACATACTGTATTCATATATACATGTATATATATATACACGACATCCTATCCTACTTATATATTGCCCCCTCCCCCCTCCCCCCTCCACCCGTTCACCAACCAACACTAACCCTTACCCATAATCCTCTGTTCAATCCCCCTACGACCCGCCATTCCACCCCCCTCATTCTTTTGAATCCCTCCTTCCCTTAGGCCCACACAATCCACCATTCCATCCGAATTACCCTCATTTCCATCCCTCTCCCTCGCCGCACTCCTCATCCCATCTGTGCCCGCAATCCCAAATCTTTTCAATTCATCCGCCGTCGGCGCCACATGCATCCAGATTTCCTCTCCAACCTCTAAATCCTCTAATCCGAACAGTACATGTCCCAGCGGATCCCTTGCGACATTTTTCATCTTCTGTTTCCCTCTCTCATTCTTATCATTACAACCCTCCTCCTGACATTTGTTCGTCTTCCCAATCGTGTATTTCCTCGCCCATTGCGGCGTTAATCGAACCCTCATTTCATGCGGAATCCTCAGTTTCTGCGCAATATACTTTTCCTGCGGCTGATGCACAACCGGTAATTGATCTAATTCTTTTACCTCCAGCAATTTCTCATTCGTGCCCCTATTCATCGCACTTATTCTTTTCGGCATCACCATTTTTAAAAACTCCAGACTGGCGTTGATATTTAAATCGAGAGCTCGTCGCGGATTGACCGTCATTTTCAGGAGGAAACTGCTGACTTTGGGATAGAGCAGCGAGAAATCCGATTGCGAAATGTGGACGCTACCTCGGACGGTAAGCATCCAACAGAGCGTACCCTGGGATTTGGCTTCGCGACAGAGGGACATGATGCGAGAGAAGTTCGAAGGCCAATACATAAAAGCTTCACTATTGATGCAAAGTAACGGACTATGAATCTGATACTCGGATTCGCAATCAGCTGGTTGAATTGCGCCTCCCCAAGGATCATAGAGAATTCCTTGGGAAATATAAGGAAATCGCTTAGTTTGGTAGCGGAGAGCTTCTACCGCGGTGGTGGCGCCAAAGGAATGCCCGAGCATGGTGACTTGCTGGAGGTGGAAGCGGTTCTTCCAGCTTTCCCAATCAATGCCTTTGAGACCGCGAGAGGAACCGCCCATGCGGCCAGGGGAGCTTTCGCGAAGGTTGGCTTGAGCGACAAGGGAGCCATTGCCGTGGTGAATTTGAGTCATGACGTAATATGCTTCTTCAATTTCAGCGAGGCGGAGTTGTATTTGGGCAGAGCGAAGTATGCCGTCGACGCTGAAATCAGGGTTAGTCAACGGGTTTCGAATCGAAATGTACTTGAGACTTTGAGTGGCCATTTTCGTATTGTGTAGATGATTGATGATGAGATATTAGAATATTTTTCACTTGGATGTATCCCTCACAAAACTCTGAAGGGAATGGCCATCATGCCATCATGCCAACAGACTTCAGATATCTTGACTTTTTGATCATCCAAGTTTCTCTCGAGTACCCGGTCAAATATGAGGAGGTTCACTCACCCTTGTTCATTTCCAGGGAAAGTATCTTTGGCATTTCCTTCCGGAAAAACATAATCGAATCTCTCATAGCCTCTCTCTCGGGCTTCATCAGAATAATCAACATTCTCCGATCCAAATTTATCACCTGTCTTTGGTAAATTGACGAAAGTGCGTGGTCCTGACCCATCTCGATGTTCCACAGCCACAACTACAAATCCATAACTGGCAAATTCCCCACAGACGGAACTATATGTAGTTCTAGTTCCTCCCAGGCCATGACTAAAGATCAACAATGGAAAACATGGCGATTCTGGTTCTCCAGGTGGAGGCTCTCCAGCACTGTTCTTCGTCTGGTATCCGGCTTCGGATTCACGCGAATTTTCTGGAGGCCAGTGTGTAGCCAACTTGGCATTGCGAAAAGCAGGAAGTTTGGTGAAAGCGGTTGTCATACCAAAAAACGCGACTGTAAGCCATGGAGGAATGCCTGCGAATTTGCCATAACCCTTTGCCGTCTCAACGCGAGGCCTCGGTAACCATGTTGATCGACTCCATTTCTTTTCTCCTTCGGGAGAGACACCTTCACCAGATCCAAAGCCGGAAGGATAGAAAATGCTGAAGAGGACGGTCTCGAGATTTAAGACATGCTTATGCTCTCTCTTGATGTTGGAGAACGTCCTTGGTTGTCGTACAGGTACTTCTATGTCCATCTGTCCGACCGAATACGGTCCGCTGTAATATGGCAGTGGTGTTCGCAAGATCTTCTCACGAAAGCCAGCCGGTTCTCGGCTTTTGGGGTGCTTTGTGATAGGAACATATTTAGGTTTGTCAGGTGCAAACCCTCTTGCGGTGTCTCCCATAGTAAAAACTCGCCACCACAGGGGATCTATATAATTCAACAGTATTGCACTGTTAAGTTACGGGAAGTGATGTGGATTCCAAAAAAAGAAAAAAAAAGAAAAAATTGATCAAAGTATCGTGACATCTGAAATGTCAATGTAAATTGAATACCTAGCATGATTGTTAAGCAAACCAATTTTGGGCCTAAATGGATTGATTGCCTATACAGTAGATAGGTTACCTGGGACTGGGACTGGGACTGGGACTTGTATGACGGATGCAGGAGTTAAACGGAAGTGAGTATATAGAACTAGATCACAACTGTATTGTAGACTTGGATAAACACAGTTAGGAACGAAACTTTAAACCCTTACACTTGTGAGTAAAGTGGCCTGTTTAGCCGTGGTAGGACTGCCTCAAACTCCTAGTGCCGGGTCATATTGATACTTTTGAAGCGTATCTTTTAAGTTCCGACCGCAAAATGATGAGAGATCATCAGGAGTTTTTATTCTCATAAGCTAAACATTACCATCATTTCGGAAAGATCGGGGGATTATCGCCGCACAAAGTAAAGTAGGGGTGTCAGACGGCCAAGAGATATCAAATGATCAAGATTGAAAGATATTTTTGGCTTGGTAGGTTATTAATCGGATGATACTTTAGATACCTAATTCGAGATTCTGAATAGAGTTCGAATAATGAAATGAATACTTACCGGTAATGTAAAAGGGGGCCACCTGTTAAATGATATCGGTAACTGTGAGTCTGTAAGGTTTACAGACAAGTTACCCGGAATGGATGAAAGAACATGCGATTTTGGCATCATCATGACTGATGGTAATTGGTTCCCTCCCCACAACTACCAACTACCTAGATAATCTTGCAGATCGATCAATGATCTTGTTCCAGGATTATTTATCATTTAATTACCCCTAGGGGATGTGTATATGTGTATGGGTATTATGGAACTTAGTAAATTATATGCATGAGTTTACCGATAACCTTAACTCTGTCTGTTATACATGAGTTACTGGTGACTCTGAGCATGATAGCCCAATCTTAAAGGAAAGTACGAAAACCCGTCTATAAATACCTATTTGTCATTTATACAGGTAAATATATATTCTTATGCATTCTGTATTGTACCCCTAGTACTATGTAAATACCTTCTTCTATCGTATCGTGGAACCAAAGCAATCATTTCATGCTGCACAAGTTTCAACCACTGGGCAGAAGAAACTTCAAGTAGTGACCACAAGCGTCAACTTATGAGTTACAATTAGTACCGGTATTGTGACTACTCAGCTCAGCTGTTATGCTTTCAATTTTCTATTCCTATTGATGTTATTACCTACCTACCTACCTACCTACCTACCTACCTACCTATCTACCTAACCTATATACCCTACTGTCTTTGAACGAATCAACATTACTTACAGATAGATACATAACTTGAGTACATACACACCGCACCAATTGAGGTGGTTAAGTTGATTGACTTACCTACTTTCAATATTCATTCTCTTTCTCTTCTTTTCTCTTCTCCAGGTCAAGCCCAGCCCTGAGAAAGCAATCAATTCCGCAAGGTTCTCCTTAAGCCTCCATCTCCCATTAACCTCTCAAGATTGGATGAGAATGCAGTAAGGCGACCTCCGACCAATCACCTATCATCTTCGACTTGACTGCAAAAAGCAAAAACTATAATTTGCATTATATTTTTAATCTAATAAGTACTCATGAACTCTGAACCCAAATCTATATTTGCTTCGAATATTGATGATAACTATCACCACAATCATCATCATCACCACCACCAACACCAACACCATCATCAACTACATCAAGAAGTCAACAGACCGAACATTAGCAAACTCAACAAACTCAGCAGAATTAGCCTTGGAGCAGTCACAGTCTCAGTCACAGTCGGAGTCCCAAAGAATTCATCTATATGTACACAGACGTCATGTGGGGCTAGTGGCTACAAATCTGGCTTGGATCGAACAAAGGGACAGGGGTTAATTTCGACACATGGTTTAGAAGAAGTACCGGTAATAGAAACTCCACTATTCATGTCAATAACAAATAATTCTCGACATTCAATTAATGTTCCATTGTCATCGTCGCAAGATTCCAATCTCTGGTCTACCTCTTCCTTTCAAGATCTGGCAGAATCAGAGATCCAGAGACCATCAGTTCCATCCACCACTCCATATACTACAACACCTCAGTTATCACCACAAACCTCGAAACATTCTAGAGAGGAGGACGATAATGTGTCTGAGAGGGCCTTTGATATTTCAATCTTAGAACCACCGGTAAGTATTTACAAATACACCAGTCTTGTTTGTTTTATTTGAAAGTTCACAAAACTAAATACTTTATATATATGTAGTCAAAAAGACACAGGGTAAGATTAAAACCTTGTCGGATACTCAAACCAGATGATGAAGCAACAATCAACTTTCCTACAACTTTACAATCTCCTCGCTCTCCATTATTCACAACCCACAAGCTCAAAAGACCACATTCCTCTCCAAGGTCACCAAATATGGAGGACACAACAGCTATGTCAAAACCAGAACTGGGAGACAGTGGCATGACAACACTCAAGTCAGTTTGGTACTGAATCTCTTACATTTTGAATCTTTCACCACTTATCACAGTCAAGATTTCCTGTAAAATTTTGATACCATTTTCAAATTTTGGGTAGCTGAAATGTTGCTGACTCTATTTTGCTCAAAGGTTGGCTCATGGCAATATATTGGGTAATAATTCGAATCCTCCTGGTTTGTCCTTTGGGCCTACACCGAACTCAGAACAACATAGACGCCCTGTGAGCCCTGAACTTACGACGAGTCCTCAAGAAGGCTCGTTGGTTTATAAAGTGGGCATACTTGAACTTTTAGAGCAGGACGATAGGCCAACTTTCATCATAGATGTCGCCGATCAAGAGAACTACATACCCGGTGGTCGTTTACGAGTAGAATATGCGAATGCATCACTACGCGCCATCAATCCATTATTGGGAAAGGTAGCAGGCTATGCGAATTTATCTTCTCCTACCATTGTCACACAGGCATTTCCGGAATTTAAAGCATGGGTGCTTAGTTTTGTGAGCAAACAGCACGAATCTTTAGATATCTGCTTACCGTCATTTTTGTATGAAGATTTCACATGGAGCTGTTCGACCTTGCGAAAAAGACTTCGGGTGATAAATGGCATTAGAACTCAACTTCCAACAACTAATTCCACCTCATCAAACACCGCTAATGATAGCCCTGTCCAGAATCGAGGATTTGGTCAAGACGTGTCAAGCTCAACAGAGCTATTTTCTGAGCAATCTGATTATTTTGGAAATTTTCCTCCGCTTGTATCAGATTCGAGTTCAACAGACACTCTCATGGTAAGGAACCAAGTGCCACACATTGATGGCTCTTCCTTCGATTGGACAAGGCTTCCGCTGTCTGCAGCGCTACCTCGACATGTTCAATTCACCCGCAATATCAATTGGTCGGCAACTCCACTTGGCCCAATGAAAACCTGGACTTTTGACTTGAGAGCTATGTGCAATCTCATCATGGGAAGCCCTCACCCAGCAGCCATGTACTGGGGAGTCGATTATACAGCTATTTATAACGAAGCATACATCTTGCTAGCGGGCCAAAAGCACCCTAGTTTGATGGGTCAAAGTTACAAAACAGCTTGGGCTGAGATATGGGGCGATATCGAAGGAGTCTTTGCGAAAGCTCGATCCTCTGGCCAAGCGACCATGAAAGACGACGATAGACTTTTCATCAAACGAAACGGTTACCTGGAAGAATGTTATTTTGCCTGGAGCATAATTCCACTGGTCGGGGAAGATGGTTCTGTTGTGGGATTGTACAACCCGGCATGGGAAAAGACGAGGAGAGTAATATCGGAACGTCGGATGCTTACTCTGCGAGAAGTAGGAGAGAAAACTGCCACCGCTAGAAACATCCAAGGATTCTGGGCACAAGTCATCAGAGCATTAGAGTACAATTCCTTTGACATACCCTTTGCTTTTCTCTACTCGGTCAACGAGGATGTTGATAGCGACATGAGCTCGCAGCGATCATTGAACTCTGGAAGCTTGTCACAGACTTCCTGTTGTGTGTTAGAAGGAACGATTGGTGTACCTATCGGTCATCGATCGGCTGCCACACCATTGGATCTGTATTTCAGTGAAGAAGGATTTGCCCCATATCTGAGAGAATCTATGAAGCTTGATCGACCTGTACTTCTTACCACCGAGGAAGGAACTCTACCAACGGAACTTATTGAAGGTCTGAAGTGTGTAGGATTTGGCGATCCTTGTCGAGCTGCTGTTGTCATGCCACTCCATGCCACTAGTAGAGAATCTATACTAGGTTTCTTGGTCATGGGCGTCAATCCAAGAAGACCCTACGACGATGATTATAGTCTGTTCGTTGAGCTCATGTCTCGCCAATTGACTACGTCGATGGCGTCGGTCGTTCTATACGAGGAAGAAATCCGCAAAGGTCAGAAAGCGGCGCGCATCGCTGCTCAAGATCGTCAGGAATTATCGGAACTTGTCAACCTCCGTACTCAAGAAGCGGTAGAAAGCGAGAGTCGATTTACTCGCATGGCTGAAATGGCCCCTGTTGGAATGTTTATTGCAAACTCTCACGGGGAGATTACGTTTTCAAATGATGCTTGGTGGGAAATATCGCGACATCCTCGATCAGATACCAGCGCAAAGTCATGGATGGATAGCATAAAAGACGAGGATCGCCAAGGAGTTCAGGCTACATGGAACAGATTAGTTACGCAGAAAGTCAACGTGACAAAAGAGTTTCGTTTCAAAACCCCATGGCAAAGCAAGCATGCTTTGACCGACACGTGGGCACTCATGAATTGTACTTCACTCAGAGATGGAGATAATAACCTGATGAGCATATTTGGTAGTATCACGGACATATCGCATCAAAAGTGGGCCGAAGAATTTCAGAAAAGGAAGACGGAAGAAGCAATCGAACTTAAACGGCAACAGGAGAACTTCATCGATATGACCAGTCATGAGATGCGCAATCCGTTAAGTGCAATCTTACAGTGCTCGGATGAAATCACCAGTGCTCTGACTTCTCCTTCTCTCAAAGGACTGAGATCAAGCATGCAAAATGCGGAAACGTGTCAGGAGATATCAGAAATTCTTGAAAGCAGCATCGATGCCGCTCAGACGATCGCACTTTGTGCTCAACATCAAAAACGCATCGTCGATGATATTCTGACCCTGTCCAAGTTGGACTCGGCGCTTTTAGTCGTGGCACCTGTCTCTACCCAACCGGTATCTGTAGCCAGGCGCGCCATCAAGATGTTCGAAGGAGATATGGAAAAACACGACATCTCCATAGAATTCCAAATACAGGAATCGTATTCTGACCTTGACATCAATTGGGTGAAACTTGATCCTTCACGACTTCTACAGGTTCTGATCAATTTGCTAACGAACGCTATCAAATTCACCACGGGACAACCTCAGCGTTCAATTATTGTGAGTATTGGGGCGACAAAAGAAATTCCGGCAGGTAAAGACAGCGCTGTTCAATATATCCCTTCTCGCTCGGGTGCTGCGGATTTGGCAACAGACGAAGCAGAATGGGGCACAGGCGAAAATCTCTACTTGAAATTTGCAGTTCAAGATACAGGTAGGGGTCTTGACGAAAAGGAAGTGTCGATTCTGTTCCAACGGTTTTCGCAAGCGTCTCCACGTACTCATGTTCAATATGGCGGGTCAGGTCTAGGATTATTCATCTCAAGAGAATTAACCGAACTTCAAGGGGGGCAAATTGGAGTGTCCTCGGAAAAGGGTGTGGGCAGTTGTTTTGCATTCTACGTGAAGGCTCGCCGAGCCGAACGCACTCCCAACACATCTCCTCTATCTACTCCAATACACAGTGCCATAAATCGAAGGCCTTCTCCCCGTACGGCAACCCCTGCAAAGGTGGAAAGTACCAACGGCTCTTCCAAAATCCCGGTACACACCCAGTACGTATATCTTCCATTGTCTTCATCTGCGATGCGGACCTGGTCCGGCACATCACCCTGGATCTTACTAATACCGAGATAGATCTACGAGCGAGACTTCAACGAGTTCACCTGAGATATCACCAAGCCCAAAGGTTGACTACAAAAATATTACAATCCTTATTGTTGAGGATAACCTTGTGAATCAGCGCGTTTTGCAAAAACAGTTACATAGAGCCGGATTTGTGACGGAAGTCAGCAATCACGGTTTGGAGGCTTTGCATAAATTGGAAGCATCGTCTTTCTGGAAGCATGAAGAGAGCAGCGGCGACAAAACCAATATCTCTTGTGTTTTGATGGATCTTGAAATGCCAATAAGTATGTGCACACATCTTTCAAAAATCATGGATCATTTTGACAATATGCTAACAACTTGTCTGTCAGTGGACGGTCTCACTTGTACCAAAAAGATTCGGGCACTAGAAGCCGATGGAACAATAGTTCGCCATGTTCCCATAATTGCAGTCACGGCAAATGCAAGATTGGAGCAGATTGAGACGGCTATAGCCACTGGAATGGTAAGCGTCTACCTATCTTTCTAAATATATATGGTCATTGTTGGAATGAGGCTTACAGGTTGAATACAGGATGATGTTGTCTCCAAGCCATTTCGCATTCCGGATTTAATACCCAAGGTTGAGGCATTGGTTGCTAAGAGTCGAGCTGCTTCAAATTCCGAAACCTAGTCGTTATATTTATAAAGAGGTTATTCCGTTAGTAGGGAGGTTTGGATTCTGGGGGTGTTTTTCAATGAAGGAAGGGGAGCAATCAAGCGATTTAGATGTCGTGCATGATAGTTCATGCGTGATTTTGGAGTTTGGGATCTTTGAGTGTTTGTGGACGGTGCGTGGGATACCCAGTTAACATATGCATTGCTTTTTGTGGAGTTTGCAATGGGGTTTTTGGTGAAATGGAACGTTTACGATGAATGAAGTGGGTGGAAGAAAGAAAGGAGAGAAGATGAGAGGGGAGGGCAGGAAGTAAGCGATTCAGATTGAATGGATGGGTGCATGGTGTTGTACATATTGGCATGGTAGTATGCTATCCTGCGTGACATGGCATGGCACGGTCCTACACTTTGAATTATTCGGAGTAATTGATGGGAGATCAGTAAAGATTGAAGGCAGAAATTTGGTCAGGAAGGACTCGGACGAGGATCTTTTATGATCTTCATGATCAGTTAGATAATCAATTAGATAATATAATCCAAAAAAAAATCAGAAAACTCAGAAAACTCAAATCTTGATTTTATTCTTGACATTTGGAATTGGGAATTAGGAATTAGGAATTAGGAATTTGGAATCTGGAATTATCGAGAAAATGAATAATAAATGATGGTGAGAAGAAGATCAAGTTGATACAATTAATTATTCGAGTATAAGATTACATGGGCAGTTCTTTTTGTGTTGTAATTGTTGTGATGGTTTGTGATGGTTGTGATTCGGGGAGTTGTTTGTTGGAGAAAACATGTTCTATTTTATTATATTCTGCTCTGTTATATTCTGCTCTGTATATACCTATATACTCCTGTGCTATTTATTATCATGCTCTGATATTGTTCTAATTCCTTATTCCTCCCTATGATAATAGATCAATATCATACAATTCTTCCTGTAACTTTAAAAAGAATACATTGTTACCCACCATATGTTTATATTCATATCCACAGTCCATCTATTCATTTTCGTATTGATTTAACGCAAACCAAACCATTACCATCCGCCTCTTTCTTTATCAACAAGTAAAGAACATCGATGGGATGAAATAATTCTATAGATTAATTATTCGCCCCCCTTAAAACTCCTTTTCAAACTTCCGAATCTCCTCTTTAGACCCTCGCTCAAATTATGAGATCTTCCTGGACTGTGACTCCTATTCCTGGTATTCATTTTCATTTTTCCTTCATCGCCTGAGAAATCGACGGTTCCCATTGCTCGTCCACTGGTCTTGCCAGTGCTATTACCGTTCATAGCTCCAAATCCACCAATACCACCACTCATAGCATTACTTCCACTTACACTTCTCTGGCGATTAGTTGGCGGGGGTCGGAGATTCGAGACTCCGGATGGGGAACGGGTTTGCATTTCGTAGGCGAAATTTCCGTCGGACATGATGCGGCGGTGGATGGGTTTTTGGGAAGCTTTGTGGTCTTTGCGGGCTTGGTCGATGCTGAAGGAGGGTTCGCCTTTGCCTTTGTAGTCTTCGGGGAGGTATTTCTAAGAGAGGATTGGTGTTAGTTCTTGGGTAATGAGGGCTGGTGGGATTTTGTATCGTCTGTAGTTAAGATGAAGTGGAGGAATGCACTCTCGTCTGAACTTCAAACTTTGAGGGTCCCTAATGGTAATATGTGCATGTGCCCATGATATTGATTAACAGACTAGATGGGAAAAGTAAACGTACCACGTGATCATATCTCTTATACGCACCACCCGCTGCATCGGGTTCTCTCATCAAATCCGCACCCTCTGCATAATTCATAATGACACCATCTGGACCTGGCATCCCGGGAGGAACATCAGCCGTCCCCGATAACGGTATATGTCTATCCAAACTATCCTGAATGTTTTCCCTCGGTGTGGCTCTAATGGCCTCCTCGTTCGTTCCCGCGACCGCTGCCACTGGTGAACTCTTATAACTCGTATTGCGTGCCATTAGTGTGGCGTCATAAGGACCTTCGTGATGATATGAACCACCGACTGCGGTGCGGTCGAGTGAGTCAATGATGTCGGCGCCTGGGATGTGTTTCTTGCGGAGATGAGGAGAGCGGTATGCGATTTTGGTCTCTTGACGCAATTGGTCGAGAGGCCTGTGTGACATGTCTCCTGGATACCGTCCGCCTAGGGAACTACCTCTGCGACGTCCTTTGTCACTACTGGTACCGACGGGTCCATCGAGACTTTTGCGTAGGCTCCCACCGTTGATATTAGAGTAGCCGCTAAAAGCTGATTGACGATGAGATGCATAGGGGTTGTTGGAGCTGAAGGTCGACTTGGTGGGACTAGCTGAAGCGGGGGGTGTTGGATAGGAATTAACGATTGTCTTGGGTGTCTTTTTGGTTGAACTGCTTCTGCCGAAACTGCTAGGTTGGGTATGTGGAATGGAAGAATTGAAATGGCTTCCAGGACCTGTTTCTTCACTTGGTTCGGGAGTGCTGAAAGGATCGATTAGGTATTGTTGAGCCTGATAGGAGGAAAAGTTGTTAGTAGTCATTCTGTTGTTTGTTTGCAGTGCAAAATTGAGGATATAGATGAGGAGCTTGGTGTATTTGAATTGTTTGTTTGCAATATTAATCGAAGTTTTCACATACCCGTTGTTTGTCACTTGAGCTCTCCATATTAGAGATAATTATCAATCAAGTGTGGTATGATGTTTGATTCTGGTGTTTCCCGAGTGAGCCGTAGAAAGAATGACAATCAGCAGATCTTTGCTTGTAGTGAAGCGCAACAGAGAAGAAAGGAAAAGAAAGATTGTTGTATAAGAGTGAGAGTAAACAAGTAGTAGGTGGTAAAAAAGGTTAGGTAGTCAGGTAATAAAGTAGGTTATTGTTCAATATTAGCAAGACCGGATGTGTTCACCAAAGGAAAAGATATCGTACATAATAAATAATACAGGATATCCTTGACACCTATGATGTAATTTTACTTATAATTCTATAATTTGTTCGGATAAGAAGGCTAGATAACGATAGATAACGCTAAATTGTGACATATTTAGATAAATTTTGCTTAAATTTCCAAATATTGATTAGTCATGGCAAGGACGCGAGGCCCGGCTTCCAACAACGGATCTTTCCAACTGCGGATATCCTCTCTCTCTCCTCTCTCTCTCTCTCTCTCTCTTTCTTTCAAAACCCAAAACCCAAAACCCAAAAGGTAAACGAAAACCCTAACTCCGCAAAGCCTCAACGCGTTCACTGTCCGGACCGACGTCTGATATTGGGTCGAAGATCGTTCTAGACTTGAGTTACCCAGTATTAAATCGTTTGAACAGTCGCACTGCCACAAATCCAATAATCCCTTGTGTCGAAGTCTAAAACTTTATCCTTTCGGGAAGATAGTTAGCCCAGTACCCAGTTAGGCATTAATCGGATTCATAAAGTTTGATTTTGGTACAAACTGTCTGGTTATAGCTAACGGAACGGGTATCATCTTTCATCGTGTACATGTGGAATATTATACGAATTTGTCCAACGGAGTCTAAACGAACCGACACATCTAAATTGGGTCAAATTCTTACCCTCTAGTGTTTCTCCCTGGTTACTTTGAGTCCATTGCACTGATAGCGGTACTTCGATTTGCAATCAATCATCCTTCTTTTAAAGGAGGCTTATTGAGTCTAAATTCGTAATGGCACTAGTCGATTACACTTCGTCCGATGAAGAAGAGGTCGTCGCGGACAACCTTAATCAAGACAACGAAAGAAATGGAAGGGATGGAAGGAATGCTACTACCGGTACAGGAACTTCAAATTCAACACATTTGAAGCGAAAACGAGACATTTCTTCACCATCTGAATTACCTCCACTACCTTCCAAATTTCATGATCTTTATGCATCAACTGTAAGAAACAGTACAACAGATAATCCAAGCTTACATGGAGGAAAGAAAAGAATTACTCCTCATATCGAGGGTAATTGGCCAACGCATATTTATATTGAGTGTGAGTCTCCCATTAATGCCTTACATTAGTTTAAACTTCTTATAAGCTTTTTCGCTAATCCAATCGAGGGTATCCTTCGACTACAGAATATGATCTATTAACAGCCTTGATTTCAAAAGTTGCGTCGGTCAAAAGATTCGAGATTCATACATTCTTGACAAGTGACCTTGGGGTCCCTCTTCCATTACATGTCAGTCTTTCACGAGCAATCGGATTCTCCAAAGATGTGAAAGATACCTTCTTGACTTCATTCGAGCAAGCCATAAAATTTTCCGGAATTCGTCCGTAAGTCCATGTCCGAACTCAATTAAGAATGACACGTGACTAATCTTTTTAGATTCGAAATCGGATTCTCCGGTTTAGCTTGGGTTCCTAATTACGAAAAGACTCGATGGTTCTTAGTTCTCCGTCTTAAAAGACCAGGAAGCGATGCATTGAACAAATCACTTCATGTCAGCAATAAGGTCGTGGAAAGATTTGGGCAGCCGCCACTATACGCAAATTCTAGGACTAGTGAAAATAGCCCAAAGAATGCTCACCCTATCCAGGACATCAAAATGTTTAGAGCCAAGGCACGGCAAGAAAAGCAAAATTTCAGCGATATGGTTGACTTGTCAGAGGCATTTCACATTAGCATTGCTTGGACGCTCTTGCCACCAGACCAAGAGCTTATTGATGCTACCGAACGGTTGACGACCAATGAACTAATGAAAGTGAAGCAGATTCAAATAAAGTCCGGGGAACTCAAGGCCAAAATTGGTAATGTAGTGACCAATGTGCCTCTTTCTATGAGTGTCACGGAAGGCAAAGGTCTCTTTGGATTTTGAAGGAATACTTTGCTTAAGGATGTTATGATATATTTGATGATTTGGAAAACACATCTTTCTCAAAATCTCAACTATCTGTGCAGCTGAGTCTAGCCGATTCTTTTTACCGTGTCTTGAGTCATCAATACTTGTTCTCTGCGGCTAGGCTGGCGGTGCTCCGGAAAGCGTGACTTTACACTACCTCTCTGAACTTTCGAGCCCGGCCCGAGAAAAACAAGCTCGCAAGCACCCTTCCTTTGAAGTTTAACAAGAAGTTTGAAGCCTTCTGTTTCTACTTTGGCTTCTGCGAACGATCCACATGTGGAATGTCACTTCTTGAATTCCATTCTTTTCCATGTCTATGTTATGGTATTCGCATTTCCTATGACCAAACGAAGCTCAAATGTATCTGAGGATCGTGTTACTGTATACGTTAGTCTAGCCCTACAACAAACATATCGTCAGACTTAGAGTTGTAGCATACCTTCGTTCAAAGAGTCACGCCTTATTCGCACCCGACGTGATTTCCACACCACCCATGCCAATACCACACTGAGAATTCCTAATGCCGTTGCTATGACCACAAATATTATCTGGATGACATCATCCTGAGGCAGCGAGCCGATGGAAGTTTTGTCGCTTGGAGGCATTGAAGTCAATGGTTTTCCTGGTTCAGCCTATCGAGCCTGCACAACGTCAGAAGTTAGTTACTCTTTCCGGAGACTTCAATAGAGGACTCTCCACTAGACCTACCGTAAGATTCATCAGTAAGAAGTTTTATGGGGAGGAGCCTCGAATTCTCTAAATTGTTGCATATGTCGATGTTTTTGGGGCGTGTCAATTCGATTCAGCCTTCATGAAAGTAATTCATCTGTTCTATATGCCCTACAAGAACTCTTGAGTTATCTGCTGGATACGTGGCCTGTTTGATGTGCAGAAGAGCTCTTGGAACTTCACTATTCAAACAAGACCATGCAGCTCCAATTCCATCCTTCAAACGGTTCTAATAGGGCTTGGAACATATCTCGAGGTCTCGCCTTATCAACTGTAACTTTTCCGAATGACACAAAACTTGTGGTTGCATGTCCAAGCTCAAAATTCCCAATAGCCGCAGCACAATCACCGACTACTTGAGTACATTGGATGCACTAAGCGAAGCACAGCGCGTAAATTCACACGCCGCAATATTGCTACCTACCAAAGCAAGCACGAAAACGCATATATGTATGCACATGTCCCAGGGTAAAAAAGGCCTTTCCATTCTTATTCTTATTCCGGGACCCTCGGCTCGGCGAAAAACAATATAATTTATCAACAGCCACTCGAGCCAGCGCAAAAGTATGCTTCTGGAACGACACCGTTTCATCAGAGCATGTAAGATTTGGGATATACCGGTATATTTTGCGTTGATTTGAAGTCGCTTTTACAGCTTGCTATATTTCCAAGTTGTGGAGAGGAGAGTTGCCATTAGAATTTGGACTTAATTCAATGATATGGTTCTGTCCTTCAAAGTTCAAAGTGAGTGCCAAAGATTCAGCCATGCTACACGTGTACGTACGAGGTCTTCAGTCCGTTGCGACCGATATGATACTACAGTGATTATTCTACTCGTATAATGAATATCTCCTTTCCTATAGACGTACCATACGGTACTACGAATCTAATTACCTCTTGAACCTCTCGAGCTATCCAATTGGAATACTCGTAGGTCACGTCACGCACGATACGTCGATATCCCTAGCATGATATAATGTATTGTAACTCTTGTCGTGTGGGGAGATCATTCATTCTTTGTATGTACGTTAGAAATTCGAAATAAAACATTACTTCGGGAAAGAGATATTGCAGCACGCTGAGTCTTGATAAAACTTAACTGCCACCTCCTGATAATCGGGTTTCGTTCATCTCAAGGATCCTCCCATGACATGACAGCTGTACAATATGATGTTTCCGATTCGGCGCAGGCGGGTTTTGATTCGCCATCCTTGGCTATATTTCGTTTCACTACGATATTTGCTTGGATCTTAGACAGTCAGCTATTATATTTGTCTGATGCTCAATATTTTGGTTTACCATTTATCTCTAGATGTTCACCACTATTTCGCAGTCGACGATAGACTCTGCCAGAACATAGAATGACGCTGACAATAACTTTTGTATCCTATACTAATAATGATAGCCAATACACATGCTCGCTATTGGATCAACTGAAAATCCTGTTCCTCGCCCTTAGACTCCGAATTCATATTAATTTCTCTGCAGCACCTCCACTCAACACCCAAATACTCATCTGGTTGTAATTCCACCTCTACTCCGCCATGTGCATCTTCATCAATCCCAAGACATAATGGTCAGTGTCCAAGAATGGTTGCAAAATTACACGCTTGTACTCCTCGTAAAGATTCCTAGTCTCCGGATCCGCGTATCCTTCTTCGATACTAGGCTCCAATTCTGCTTTCACCGGTCGAATGTTATCAGCCTCAGCACTGTCATACCTCTCATCAAAATCGGGCGTCACATCCGGTTTCTCCTTCTGAAGTCTTCTGGGGTTAAGCTGCATATCTGTTTTCACCCATTCGTATATTCTATACAGAAAATAGGCCATGACTTGGTCGGTCTGATCTCTTTTCGCCTGGGTTGCCATCGCTAAACCCCCTCGGATTATGCGCATTCTCATTATGAAAAGAAGTAATACCATGTCGTCCTTCGACGGCTCTCCTTCCATATCGTTGAGTCTTGTGGCGTTTTCCGCCAAGATAAACCTGAAGTCCTCAGACAGACGAAACTCGATTTCGACAGCCGTCGAGATACATTGCAATGTATGGACATATTTAAAGTCTTCCCACATTTTTGCGTGCCACTCACTAATGCGAGCCTGCTTTTTCTTGGTTGTGGCATCGGTCTTTTCGGTGACTAGCGCAAACATTCTATCTATGGTATTGTACTTTTCTAGGGCACCATCCAAATCCTCTCGAAGCATATTGAGATCAGCCAAACCTTCAAGCCTCTTATTTCGCATGCATGTCGAACATTGACGAATGCACTCGGAAACAATTTGTTCCCGTCCCTCGGCACCCAGGCAGTCAAAATATAACTTCATTACTCCCTCCGGAACTTTTGCTGAAGTTCCAGACCCAATAAGGTCATGTGTTGTATCGAGAACAAAGGAGTAACTGCCTGGTGGGAGAGCAGGGAGCTCTCGCGCTGGTTCTGAGGTCACAGGGCCGATTGGGGTTCGTTGTTTACTGCCGCTCTCAATCAATTTCAATCGCTGTGACAGATTTAAACCGTTTGGGGGTAGGGACGACGTTGTTTGCGTTATTTGAATAAGGGTACCACGGTTGTGTTGCATAGGATTCCATTCTTCCTGCGCTGCAACTATGGGTTCAAAAGTATAGTATGGTCCATCAATCGACATGCTCGGAACTCGGGTGGTTGAAATTGTACCATGCTCTCGATCTTGCTCACATGCCTCTTCTTCCTCAATGACACAGGCGGGAGCACATGCCATCTCCAAAATCGAACCCCGACTCCTGAGTGGACCTTGGTGCTGTAGCAGTAGCTGCAACAGCATCCTCCTCCTCTCGATGTATGCGCTGCATATCCGATTGCAAATTTATGATCTCGACTTCCCTTTCGAGTGTGGCTTCTTCTAGGAGTGAGCGTGCGGCTTCTTGCACGAGTAAACCTCGTCGTCTTCGACCATCTTCGATTTCGGCGTCTAGTCGGGTATATTCTCCTATTGGATCAAGATAGGTTGGGGCACTGGATGCTGGAATCTCTGGTTCTGGAAGAGATGGTGTTGGAGTGGCCGGTGCGGGAATCTCTGGTACTGAGGTGGCCAGTGTTGGTCTCGCTGGTTCAGGAATCGCTTGTGCGGGAATATTTGGTGCTGGTTTGACCGGTGTTGGGCCCGCCGGTCTGGGAATGCTGGGTGCTGGCTTTGGCTTTGACTTTGGCTTTGACTTTGGCTTTGACTTTGGCTTTGACTTTGGCTTTGGTTTTGGCTCTGGCTTTGGCTCTGGCTCTAACATATAGCTGCTATGAGGAGGGCTATCCGAGGGCATCGTAACTCTGGCCTAATCAAGTCGGGATTAATTTGAGCAATTTTCGAGGATGAGTCGTGTACGCTACCTTTATTTTCCCCATGCTGGCTTTGATTGATGGTAATGTGTGTATGAATGTATGTATGGGTGTATGTGTGGGTGCTGAAAAGAATATGCTGATTTATTGAAATGCTGCTTGGTGCTTCCAAAGTGTCAAAAGTCAAAATTTCCAAAAGTTGAGTATAATATGCAGTGCTTTTGTGTTTCGTTTGTAGTTGTTGTTTATGGTGAAGCAAAGACAAGATAAGACGAGGTACGAATCGATCTTATAGGTAAGTAAACCAGCATCGTATTGGATCGTGGCTTCCTGATTCAGGGAATGCACTTGCCGTGAGCAACGGACGAATTCAGCAGTATTTGGATGGGTTGGGAGATTGTACTTGCCGTGAGAAATAGAGGACTCCACCAAAATTAGATACTGCATACAAACTCACACTGCACACCAAAGCAAGACGAAAGTTTAATAAATACTGTATGTATGTATATCGGAAGAAATTTCTCGAAATATCTATTTAGTATTTACCTATAATATTCAGCCCTCCATGGAACAGCCGCCTGGTTCCCAACTTTTTGTTTCCCATTATATAGAAGGGAAAGGGGATGAATAATCGCTTTGCAGAGGACAATCACGTTCCCCGACTGGGAACTACACGGCCGACCATGGAGAGCCGACTATTACTAAGTAGAGTAGACTAAGTAAGCAAGTATCCAAAGAATATCTCTAAGTAATCGAATCCTGGGCGGTCGTTCCGTGGAGAGCCGACTATTAATCGAATCTCATCAATAAACCGTGACTGAATATCCATCTATCTATTCATCTATCTACTCTTTCTCATTCTCATTCTCAGAAGAAATTAGAAAGAAGAAATGAGAAAGAAGAAAGGAGGAGAGAAGAGGAAGGGGAGGAATTTGGATGAGAAGGGAAAATGATAGCAGAGAGAGAGAAAAGTAAAGATAATATATAATACAAGGTATATTTATATACTCAGCTTGGCTCTTTGAGCTTTTTAAATTCTTTCCGGAATCCGGAAGATACTATATGTAACGAAAAAGTCACGGTATGACAAAAGAAACCCTCGTTTGTTATATATAAATCAACGCTTGCTTTTATCATGTTACGCTAATGGCCTAGACCAATCAACGCTATGTGGATGCTGCTGGCATACCAAGTGTATGACGACAGTAGATACTTGCTCATCACATCCATATACCTGCCAGCTCCTGCCTTGTTCATTTCCCCTATCTCACCCGCTTTCATCAGATCTTCACTCGTGTTCATCCTCCGTACCCGTCGTCTCTGCCTCGCTCCTCTCACTTCTCTCACTCCTCTCACTCCTCTCCACCTCGGAACTTTCTCTCCCCTTTTTGACCCTCTGAAATCGGCCCCAAGTAGAGCTTTTCCTTTCTCGGGGAGCACCCTTTTGACCTTTAGCATCACCTCCTTCCAGACCGCCGATTCTCGGACTACTAGTCGCACTCTCTCCACCAGTTACCAAAGAATCCTGACCATATTCATCTACACTCTCATCTCGTTCGTTATATTCAGAAGCTGCAGTACTGCTACCACCCTTCTTCCTACCAAAGATCGAGTCCTTGCCCCCTAAGCCAAATTTACTCGAACTACCTTTGCGCAAGAGTTTGCTGAAAGATGATTCTCCTTTGATGCTTCCCGCAAAGTCGGATGTGGCATTGCTCTTGATCCTATCTAAACTGTCGGTGGATTCAGCAATACTGTTTTGTGTATGAATAGATGGCGAGTCCCGAGATTTTCTTGGTTCAGATGGAGAAGAGGTGATGGGTTGAGGGATATCATATAGAGAATCGGAAGATTCAGGTGTCTGGTCTATGGCTTTCCCTTTACCTTTGCCGGATCTCAAGAATCGACTGAAGACTGGCTCACTCGTTGGAGGAAGCTCAAATTTTGGTGCGGTAGGGTTGAGTTTGGGTAGGAGGGAATTTTGAGATGAAGGCGGCCGAGTGCCAATGGCTCCTAAATTTGGGGGCGGACTTGAGTGGATGTTATCTTCATAGAAATAATCATCTGATCCACTCAGAATCCCAGAAGTCAGTGCAGTAGAGGAACCATGTTGAAAGCTTGGTCTTCTCGATGGATTGCGGGACCATGTTGCCGGAGCGGACACTGACCAATCTGTGACAAGGGGACTGTTTCTGTTTACAGTACCGTCAGCTCCTGGTCCCCAGCCGAATGGTGCACTATCTGTCGATGGGCGCGGTAGGTCGGAAGAAGCGATAGAGGTTGGACGAGGGCTGCTAGGGTCACGAGCCGAACGCAGAGGGTTTGTATCCTCATTTCTGGAGCCAAACATGCTAAACGCAAGTTGTCTTCGAGTACCAATTTGACGAGCTGGAGCAGGTGCATTACCTTCAGAAGAGTCACCAACCGTAGCACTGCGTTGAAATACGCCTCCCCAACCGGAGGAGAAGCTTAAACGACGAGTCCTGTTGGAAGGAGTTTCCGGTTCATCAGTGGAGCGTGGAAATGAATGACTTTGGCCAGGCTTTAAAGTACCAAGAGGAAGTCCATCTTGAGGATTCTTATCGGACTTCCGGAGAGAAGTGAACATGCTGCCAAAGTTCCTGTGAGATGTTGGTTGGCCGGTTCTTGCTGGTGATCCAATTACTCCAAACTTTGACGAAGGTGAACCTAGCGAGTTTCCGTCATTATCAAGAGCGTAATCATGAGGTGTAACGCCATATTTGGCAAGATTTTGTGATGATGCGTGAGGACTAGATATCAGACTAGCAGAACGACTAGAACCTGGAGATTGTTGGTCATTATGTCGATGCGATGGGCTAAAAGCATGGCGTAATTCTGACGTATATTCAGAACGTTCCTCGTCAGGACTTGGAAGCTCGTCGTCGTTGAAAAGAGTTGATGGTAATAGCGAGGTTGCTGTTGGACTGAGCGGAGCCCCAGCAGTGAGGGACTGAGTATCAGCCTCACTCATGCCTCCCATGTGTCCCGAAAGAGGAACCATCGCAGTATCGTTACCCATAGCTAAGTCCATATAGGGAGCTGCGGCATAAGCGGGAGAACTCATCAAATTAAAGGTGTTGAATGTATTTGTACTTGGGAATTGGGAGTCAAGTACGGAATAGCCAGAAGTTAGGGATGATACCGTATTCGTGCGACTCTTGCGGGTGCGCGGCCTCCGAGACTTAGCTTTGCCCTGTTGTCCATTAGGATCAAAGTCAACCCCAGAGGAATTGGCATGATTCATAAGTTGATTTTGGTTGTTTGGTTGTCGGCCATAAAGAGCCGCAAAATTGGCCTGTGCAATTTGTAATTCGTTTTCCAGTCGATCCAGCCGTTGGCTGCAGTCTTGTGCATGAGCGTGCTGCGCTCTGGTCTTTGCCTCCCACTGAGCATCAATTCTTCGTTCGGAAGCCTCCCACTCACGGGCTTGGTCCTCATCTAACCCAATCCCGAGACTCTCCCTTTCCTCTTCCAGTTTTTTTACCAATAAACCTTTCTCCGCGACTTCCCGTGTAAAATCGTTTATCATATCTTGAACGTTACGAATGTTCTCACGAAGGTCCTCGCATCTTGCTTCTGTAGACGTGCGGATTTCCTCAGTCTCGCGTCTCCAGGACTCCCTTTCAGCTTCCATCTGTGTCATTTCCTTCTTCCAGCGTGCTTGTTCATCGTGCATCTTCTTCCTCTCCACCTGTTTGGTTTGTAGACTCTTTTGTAGTGCCGTCTTCCGTGATTGTGCTTGTCGATTCTTGAGCTCCAGATTTTTCACTTCTTTCCTCAATGCCTCACTCGTTTCCTCCTTATCCTTAACAATTTCTGTCTTTTTATCTTTGTCTTCTGACAAGATAAGGATTTGATTTCTGATCTCCTCAGACTCCCTTGAACCTTGTGCAATCACATCTTCAACTTCCTTCTGAACCACATCTTGTTTTCGCTGTAATTCTTGTATAGTTTCGCGGCTATCATCGAAATATTGGGCAATCGAGGCAGGCCAGTTCTCGGCAGCAGCTGTTGATGGGGAATGCTTTCTACCCCC